TAAAAATTTAGTATGTTGTAGCCCTTTAAATTCTGAATAAAATGGTTTAAATCCCATTTCTTCTGTAAAAATTACGGTTCAAAAGTTATGGTCAAATATGTTATTTTCCCATAAAAACCCCATAAAATAAAAAAAATAGGATTTTAGAAAAAAATCCTGTTTTGATTTAACATAGTAGATTATGGTCGTTACAATTTTGATAGTTTTTTTTTATTTTTTAGAAATTTGTATTTTTTATGGGGATTTTCCCATAAAACCCCCAAAAAATAACTGAAAAATTGGATTTTCCCAAAAATAGGCCGAACAATTTGATAAAAATTTTGTATGTTATAGTCCTTTAAATTCTGAACAAAATTGTACAAATCCCATTTCCGTATATTTACTCTCACCGCTTACATATAATAAAGGTTGTTGAAAAACTTATGGGAAAAAGTATGTGTCAGAATTCTGATACCGTTTATTACTTTTTGTTGTCCCCAGAGGCAAAATACTATCCATTAAAATTAATTTAATTATATAAATATATATATATGTATTACATATATTTATATATTAATTATATACATATATATGTATATATATAAAATAGGCTATAGTGTGTGTGTCCATTAGCATGATAACTCGAGCAGAAATCGGCCAATTCTTATAAAATTTGGTACAAATGTATAACGGAGTTTGTTTTATCTATTTAACTTAAACCTGCGTTTATTCGAACGAGTTCGCGAAACATCATGATCGGAACGGGAACGGGTTTTGGCACGGCCGCCTTTATAACTCCAGGCCGCGGCCTTCGAAGTGGCAACGTCGCAAGTGGTGTTGTAACAGCTGTTTTGTTTGGAAGCAGCTAATGGTATCTGTGTATTTACGAAAGCTTGGTTACAGTACTATGACAATGACTCCGCTTAATTATTTTTTTTATATATTGTTTCGGTTTTCAATTCTGTATGGTGAGTTTCAGGTCACATTATGTATGTATTTCCTTTCTATTATATGATGTTGAAGGAATTGTTTTATTAATAAATAATCTTGATGTATATTTTATAATCATAGTATTGTTATTACAACATAGTTTTTATTTTTATCATTAGCAAATATAACGCAATCCATCAGACTAGTTCGGTCAAAGATGAAGAATTCAAGTATACAAGTAAGTAAGTAATGTTCTAGAAATTGACGTTTTCCAATGACTTGTGTATTGTAAGTTCCAATGGAAATACATTGATCTTATGTCTTATGTTTTATTTTCAATATTTTAATAAATTCATGTTCATAAATTTAAATTTAAATCAATAAAGTACGAATTAATGAGCTGATGTCACCTGTCTGCCATGTTATCTTATGGGACGTCTGTAACTAAACAACACCACTTGTGACGTTGCCAATAATTCTACCAGGCCACGGCCTGTATTTAAAGGTGGCCGTGGTTTTTTGTTGGAGGGGGGGGTGGTTAAAATAAATAGGGGTTTCTTATTTTTGACCCTTAAAACAAGAATATCCCAATTTATCTTCAAACCATTTTGTGTAGAGCTTAAAAAAAACCAAATAATTATACGATCTTGGAGTGTTTGTACAGTTTATTGATAACGAAGAAAATTAAAAAACATTTTTTATAATTCCTATGTTATTCTTAAGGAGAATAAACTGTTGCAGTTTATATTTTGTTGTAGGATATATTTTGATCAAACTTGGCAAATTAATTTACAAGCGTTGAGTATTAATTCTTTAAACGACAGTTACTTAAACTGTTTGTTAGGTGCTGGTCTCATTCAATGTATAGACAAACCAACAAGAATTACGAACAATAGCCAAACTTGCATTGATCACATTTTCATACGTTACAACGACATGAAAAATGTACAATCAGCAACATTACACACACACGTTACAGACCATTTCAGCACAGGCATGACTATTACTTTTCCAACCAATACACCGTCAGTTACTTTGGATACTTCTACACGCATTATCGATCATACACTACTGTCCTGTAATCTTGCGCAAATAGACTGGAGCAACTTTTTTATCGATCTTGACATTAACTCTTGTGCATCTCGTTTTTTACAAATCATGGATGAAACCATAGATAGTTCTAAAAAATCTGTTAAGAAATCATCGAGGTTCAAAAAATTAAAGCCATGGATCACAAATGATTTGATTAAACTAATTAGGGAAAGAGATAAAACTAGTAAGAAAATTAAAAAACAGCCGTTTAATGCTACTTTAAATAAAGAATATCGTGATTTAAGACATCAAATTTCCAGTGGTATTAAAAGTTCTAAGCGAGTATACTACAGGTCAAAATTAAACCAATATCAAAACAACCCCAAACGCTTTTGGATGGTTGTGAACGAGCTGGCGGGGCGATCAAATAAAAAAGACCCCTTCTCAGTCCAGAAATATCTTCCAAACGTATCCAACATCACTCCTGATGTAAGAAAGATTGTAGCTGATGATTTTAACACGTTTTTCGCTTCTGTTGGATATAACCTTGCCAGTTCAATTAATAGCAGCGGTCCGCCGATCATCAACGACGCAGATTACAGGCAGGACACTGTGTTTACACTCCAGACAGTGACTGAACTCGACGTTATCAGACATGTCTACTCGTTACGTGGTGGGTCTGCCCCCGGTTTTGATGGTGTCTCGGCTGATGTTCTTAAAGAAAATGTAAATTCACTCTCTAAACCATTATTGCATATCATAAACTTAAGTTTGGCTAGTGGAATATTTCCGGACAAGTTTAAATTGGCAAAAGTTTTTCCTTTATACAAATCAAACTCCCACAAAGACAAAAATAATTTCAGACCAATATCTTTATTGAGTGCATTCTCTAAGGTGCTTGAAAAAATAGTTAAGGAACAAATGGTGGATTACTTGAACCAGAATCAGATCCTAGCAGACTGTCAATATGGGTTCAGAAAAGATAAAAATGTTACAGATGTTCTTTTTCATATCAACAAAGAAATTTTTAGTGCTCTATCCGAAAATTTGCGCTCAGTATTAATTTTTTTAGATCTCAAAAAAGCTTTTGATAGTGTAGACAGAAAGCATCTAATTTCAAAATTATCTGCTATAGGTGTAAGAGGGAACGCTCTCTCATGGTTCGAAAGCTACCTCAGAGATAGGCGACAATTCGTATACATAGATGGAGTCAATAGCAATGAGGTGCCTGTTGACTATGGGGTGATTCAGGGGAGTACCCTTGGGCCTATTTTATTCCTAATATATATAAATAATATTTCTAAATTACCAATTTTCGGAAAAATGTTTCTTTTTGCAGATGACACATTGATTTATGTTAAGGATAAGACATGGGAAGGTGTGAAGAGTAAAGCTCAATCAGATCTCAAATTAGTAAAAAAATGGCTCGACCAAAATGTACTATCTCTTAATGTTTCCAAAACAAAATTCATGCCTATTTCTCTCGCGTCAACAGCTGACTATAACCTAACCAATTTGATCTTGCACAGTTGTCTCAACCAATTCAATAACAGTTGTTCGTGCGATACCTTAGAGAGAGTTAACTCATATAAATATTTAGGAATAATTTTTGACTCACATATGAAATGGATAGAGCATATTAATTTCTTGCAAAATAAAACTAGAAAACTTATATTTGCATTTAGACAGTTAAGTGATGTTCTCAGTTTTAAAGAAATTAAATCAACATATTTTGCATATGTACAGTCGGTTTTGTCTTATGGAATATTAGCTTGGGGAGGGGCGTACAGTTCACATCTCACAGGTCTGATTCTGGTTCAAAAGTCTATCCTAAAAGCTGGTTTCAAAAAGTGTAAAAGATACCCCTCAGATTTACTATTTCATGAAACTGGAATATTCCCCATTGCAAAATTGTTTATCAAAGATCTTCTAATTTTTATATTTAAAAACTTCAATTCAATTTTTACCTCCATAACCCACACACATAATACAAGATATGCAAATAGAATTGGAATTTCTACTATTCAGCAGCACAAATCCTTTTCAAAAACAAATTGTTTCTACATAGCACATATTTTGTTCCGGAATTATTCCACTATGTATAAAGCAACTCAGTTATTTCATTCTCCTACATTAGGTGTATTCAAAAATCGAGTTAATAGATGGTTATTTTATATCAGCGATGAAGAGGCCGAGGCTCTTATCACTACTGATAACAGGCGACCTGCAACTGTCTGACAGCACTAAACGGACCCCCTCTGCAAACTCTTGCAACCAACAAAATTCTTTTCCGTTTTATTTATTGGCTTCCCCTTTAAACAATTCTGTTATTAAAAATTTTAATTAATATTTACTCCAATTTTTTATATAATCTACTTATTTTTATTTTTACAGGTTCCCATAGCACTTAGTACATTTTTATTTAAACTTTTTTCTTCAATTGCAAATTAGCTCAAAAAATACATATATAATTTTTAGCAACTCGAGTCTACGCACAGACCACTGAGGTCTATGTAGACTCATTTCCATTATATATTAAATTAGTTATTATTCAAGCCGGAGCAAACACTCAACTAGTATTTAAGTTTTTACTTTTATAACTTATAAATTAATTTTACTAGAATTAATTTACGTTAACAATTACTGTATAATGCTTCAGGGCTATATATATTTTTATTTTATTTTATTGAAAAATTGTAAATTTGTATATATTGTGGAAATAAACTGATTTGATTTGATTTGATTTGATTTGAGCTATTAACATACCTAGGTAAAACATTTTTATCATGTGCCCTCCTAGTACCGGTAGCAGCAAACCTAAGTACTCGTTAAACTTAATGTTACTTAAATAAATGGAATCAATCTGTTTGAGGACAATGGACATTCTAATTTACGTAAAAATCCAAGCTTAGTCAGCTGGTTTGCTGCGGCGGGGGTATTTTATAATACTGTCTCAATTGCTGTTGGTTTACTATACTCTATGTGGATTGGTGGATTCGTCTTTAACAATACAATGTCAAAGGAGTTTGGGAATTCGGAGGTTTGTTTGTAAACAAATGGAATCATCATCAGCTACAAGACAAAATCGTTCAGTTCATGGGTTAGTTTAAGAATAACACAACATATTAAACAATTGAAATACTCATCATTCGTTAACATTTTCACAACATGAAATTTATTTCAAAATTTTGCCTATGTTGATTACATTATCATGAAAAAAGTGTGTAAGTGCAGTCTATCCATAATTGGTTTTGGATTAGGCCTAGTTTAAGAATAAGTTAAGCTTAGACACTCTAGACCTAGTCCTAGTCTTATTCAACTAATTCATTATCTAAATAATAAATATTATTATTTTTACTTTTGAAAAACTTTCAAGTTTTCAACAGATTCAAGCCACTAAACTTAACCTCACCAAAACTATTTAGAATTGTTCATATTCTATATGGATTGTAACAATCGACTGAAGTCAGATTTAGCTACCAAAGTTTTGCCCAAAAAATAACCAATTAAGTTTGGGAGTTTCATTTTTAAATTTAAAGTTCAATAGTATTTATAAGTACCCTACGATATAATATTTTTTTCAACATGTTTATAACAATGATAACGTAATTTAATTATCCTGAATAAATATTATCACCATTGAAAGTAACTTCACGACTCTTTACATATAAATGTTTGTCAATGTAATCTTAATTAACATAATTAACTTAAATACTAATCAAACCAAGGTCCAAACTGACAGAAAATAAACATAGCCTACTTAAAATGTTCAAAAGGAAGAGGAAGTACTTACTTATTGTTTATTTTGCATGCATGCTCAGTTGAAAGAATTTAAATGAGAGTTCCCATTTCATTGGGAAGTTAGCTTAAAAAGTTTAGCCTAATTTAAAATTGAGAAATATTTAAGGCAGGTAACTTAAACCTTACAGTACACTCCCTCTTATCCGAACACCTTTTTACCAGACGTCTGTTTAACCAGACTACAATCGGCAGAAATAACATAGCCTACCTTTAACTGGACAATTTTTATCAGCACATCGGTTTAACGGTACTAGGCTATATTAGCAGAAAGTGGGCAGTACATACTGAAATTTCTTTTCTCTAGGAAAACATTTGAGACCAGTGATCACGTTTTCTAACTTAAATACAGTAAAATTCTCTCCCAAATTTAAGTAAAATGTTTGAATTAGTTTTCGAGTGATTCCTGTGGCGTTTAAACATGTTGGCTATCGTACAGTACAGTGGTACTCTATATTGTGATTGTTGTTTGAACCAAACATTTAAGTATACATAGTAAGTTGTACTCTGTATTGTCCAGTATGCAGCTGTGTCCATTTGTTTTTTTGTAGGCCTAGTTACTTATAATGTGGTACTCCATGAATTGTATGGTTCCTTTTCCTTGTTCATTTGTTAAAGATTTAAAAGGTAGGTACAAAGCCTTGACATCTGGTGTTTTTTGTTTTTCAGTAGGCCTAATCATTCCTAAGTATCTAGATCTACTACTTTTATGCAATATCCTAATATTTTCATGTCTAGAGTCATCCCTAATTTAAGGACTTTTAAGTTAAGGGACGTCAGATAATCCAGAAAACCCATTATCCGAACCTTTTTGATCTCGTTCCCGAGGAGACTGGATAAGAGGAGTCTAAGTTACTGCAGGGTTAAAAAGAGAAGATTACTTTAGAATGTTAGTTTATGTGAGCAAAGCCAATCAGAAGAAGACTGCTTTAGTATCTGGTTATGTTTGATTGTAATAAAGTAGCCCCAGTGTTCGATATGTGGGGGAACACAGCGGAACGGAATTCCGGTACATCTCTTTCGTAGAGATAAAAAATAGGTACAAATCACATTAAATAGGTAACAGTTCTGGCACCTAATTTTTTACAAATCGAACAATGAGTTGCCCTAAGTAACCTAAGAAATTAATGCACAAGATCTTCCAAAAATATTAAAATTGCTTTACGGTACCATAATGACGATAGATCCCATCTTATTTTCAATGGGATAGGTATGGCTTGGATGACACCCCCTAAATTTCAAAGGATTGATAGCCTTACCTCATTTACCAACAGTCTCCTTTGACTTGCAACACTTACTGCAAATATGCTCACCATTATACAAGCTTCAATGCTGTTTACCTCGTCCGACAATCTCCCTGTTCATTTTAAAGTAATCTCAGCGTATCTGTAAAAAAAGGATATGATCAATCTTCTCATGACATTGTTTGTACAACAAGTGATGGGTGAGCCTATCAACGCTAGCCCTACTGGTGTAGAAGGAGACTTCACTTCATCTCTTGCATTGTTCTTACCTGGCTCTAATATAATTGAGCTGCACTTGTAATTGCATGGAATTTGAAAGGAAGACTGGAGAAGACCTATCAGCCACTGTGTAGCCTAACTAAGTCCACAATAAAGGGCAATACATTCTTCGTTCCCAGTTGTTGTAGTTGTTATTGTTTTTATTTGTAGTTGATTCAACTTTAAGGTCTCAATCAATCAAAAATGTTTATCTGTTTAGGAAACATGGAAAAAAATAAAATGTTGAGTCCAGGAGAAGGCGCTCTTTTAAATACACACTCTGAGCAAATTAAGGAAGAGTTTTACAAATGGTAAGTACAAAGTAGTGTCTAGATAACTCTTGAGCCTAACTCTGGTGCCTTTAGATAGTTTGGCCCACCTATCATATATATATTTTTGAACATCTATGATCATAACTAAACCTATTAATGCTACTTAAAAGAGTCAAATTAGGTATGATCTTGATATTGCTAGTAGCCTAATAAAATTTTATGAACAGTGTTTCCACAGTTTTATCTGGAAACCGGATTTTTAGATGGTGGGCGAGATTGAAACATGATGCCGTATAAAATGGAATTTTCGGTATGACACTGTCCTTTTTTACTGGTTTTCAAATAAAAACCAAACTTAACCCCAATTGATTTGACTATTTTAGCTAACATTATAGCAAGGTTAAACAATCAACAAAGGGTGTCGTTAAAGTATCAGACTTTTTTGTGTATATAGGTCCAAAGCTCGCAAGTATAAGTCGCCGCTTACTGGTATCATTGGTAAACAGAATGGCACCATTTTCAGCTCTGTAGCTATCTTTTTGGCTTTGGTTTGCTGTGTGATTGGATAACCTTTTACAGTAGATTATTGAAACTCTCGCTGCATACAATATATGATACGTGTTTTTTGGCCACATGAGACATAGAACTGATAGTAAAATGCATCGCCAGATGACTGAAGGTTATAGCCTTAATGCAATAAGTGAAGGTAGAGTGCAGAAATGGGCTAGATAGTGGAAAAATGGCCATTAAAACCTTTTTTGTGGCCTTCTGTGAGAAGTCTTGGTAACTGGGCCGTAAAATGAGTTTGGAAAACACATTTCCTTCTAAAATGACAACCTGTCTTAACAAGTTCTACAACTTTTAACTTTTGACTTGATTTTCAGGTTTGAAAATCGAGGTCTTTTGGCTGAATTAAGAGCGTACATGCGGCAACTGATGGTGAAAGCACTAGAAGAAAACAACAGCAATGGCAAAACAAAGTGGGCAAAGAAATCCTCTACTTCTCCAAAACTTCAAGCAATAAATTTGTTGGTCGTGGATTATTTGTTTCATGAGAATTACTTTTACACAGTGTCAGTGTTTGCATCAGAGGTAAGTTAATATAAATATTGTTGTACCAATAGTATTTTACATTTACTATATAGGTTCATTAGCACAAACTACATTATCCTAAACTTAGTTAGAGCCTAGGTACTTATAAACTGGTTTAGTTTTCTGTGGAGCTTTGTTCCAATTTAGTAATGGCACATCTTGTGTGTGAGAGATTTATTTTCATACCAAATCTCTACTGTTAATTGGTGTCAATCAGGTTGACAAGTTATAAAGAAAAAAAATATTGAAGCACACCCCATTTCTATGTTAAATCTGCGGGGTAGCCAGTTTTAAAATAAAAACTACCATAATTTAATTGAAACAATGACAAAGTGGGTGGATGTCAATTAATCATTTATGTTGAACTAGCTGAACCCGGCAGACGTTGTCTTGCCTTTGACTATTTATAATTTAAGTACCGTAACGTTTAATTGTCTTATTGTATATGAAGTGCTTATAACTACGGTAAATTAAAATACGTACGACAACTAATGAAACACATATAGTACAAAGGATAACCGATTCTTTATTATTGCTCTTATATTAATGCTAGTGGGTAGACAATATTTTTGGTCTTTCTATTCGGCTCAATCACGTCCTGGTTGAAGTTCGTTCGCTACGCTCACTCACCTTTAGGTTGGAGCTCGTTCGCTGCGCTCACTTGCCTTCAGGTTAGCTCGTTCGCTACGCTCACTTGCCTTCAGGTTAGCTCGTTCGCTACGCTCACTTGCCTTCAGGTTAGCTCGTTCGCTACGCTCACTTGCCTTCAGGTTAGCTCGTTCACTACGCTAACTCGCCTCCAGGTTGAAGTTCAATTCGCTATGCTCACTCACCTTTTGGTTGCAAATTAGCTGTTGTCATAAATGTAAAAGAAATAATAGTACTGCAACCTGTTGGTAATCCTTGTAACTTTAATGCTATTGAACATCATAGAACAGAACCAACTTGTTTAATTGAAACAGCTGTTAAGATTCATTAATTCCAGTTCTCATAAGGTTAACGTGGGAAACTCCAGAGCCACTGGGGCGGAGCCGATTGGACGGAACACGAAATTGATGGTGTATAAACCTATTCCATGAAATTCTACACGTACCGGTATGTACCAAGTTTCGTGGCAATCGGTTCAGCGGTGTCTGAGTTTATCACTGCCAAACGTATACATATATATACAAACATCCTCTTTTATACTTATAGATGAGTATTTTTGACCAAGCCAAAATAAAAGTACAATTAATTGTTATCTATATCATATTAGAAGTCAAACAAATGTCAACATATCTAAAACTAAAGGGGAAAATGGAATTTTAACACAAACACTCTAAGATTGTAAATAGGTTTATCAAACTATGTTCTGTTTGCATTTATAATTCGCTCCCGATGGTCCATAGTGGTGGGATATCTACTACGACTACAGAATCCTAAATTCATTGACCTTAGATACAAAAATTATTTTAACAGTTTATATAAAGTGATAATGTCCTCATGACTGTTTAGGCTCATATCTTGGACAGCCTGCCTCAGTACTCCAGGTATGTGACAGAGAGTGTGCAGCAACGCAAGTGGGACCCATCACTACTGCCTCGGTTCTCACGTCAGGAAACCGAGGACATTCTAGACACATTGCATCTACCCCCCTCCACCTCTCAGCTACGTCACACCGTAGACTGCTACCTGGGCAGTCAGGAGAGTCTGCTGGCTTGTATTGTGCGGACCATGGTCTCAGCCACGCCTCACAGGTTAGAAACAAAAACAATATCAATCAGTTGTTTCAGACACAATCTCAACATTTTCTTTTAGAGAGATATGATTCAAACCAATCTATATAACGATCTGTTATACTCAGATTTTGCTATTTATTTAAAAGTATTTTGTGTGAGATACTGCCGAAAGGTCCATAAAAATACCAACTAACTGACTTTGTTTCCTTTATTAACAATTGTACATTACTCTTTGTATTTTAGATATAGAAGTCAACAAGGACACAGGTTGAAAATTTTTTACCTCAGTTTTTTTCCCCTGTCTTGAAAATTGGAATAACTTTAGCAATTTATAAACTGTCAGGAAAAACTCTAGTTATTAAAGAGCAGTTAATAATGTGTACAATGTGTTTTAATATAGATTTTCTGACATGATTAACTAATTTTAGAGGAACCTCATCATGACTACAAGATAAAATTATTTTACTTTTTTAATTTCAATTTAAGTTACTGGACTGGGTTACCGTACCTGGTTAATTCCTGTAGCTGGGTGTGAATTTAATCCTCTTTTTTGTATCAATGTTTCAATGGCTCCAATAAAATTATTATTAATAAAAGTGTTTGAAATGATTAAGGGATCATTTTGTAATTAGTATTCCCCTTTTTCAGAACAGTGATTGAACTATTAGTCTTATTTGCATTTATTCCGGTTTCCTTATTTATTATTTCCCAAGTTTTCTTTGAAATATTGTCAGAGTTTTTAATTTTTTCATCATAAAAGCTTTTCTTCTGTCTTATTAACTTATTTTTATAATCTTCTTTCCTCTGCTTACAAATATATAGAAGCTCATTATAAACTGTACATCTGGCTTGTTTTTTCAATTCCGCTATTTCATTTTTTTCATGTATCAGATTTGAATCCATCCACTCATTTTTGTTGTTTAAAATTTTTTTACTCTCTTTTTAGGAAAAACTAAATTAAAATAATATTAAAATATGTTGTCAAACACTGTAAACTTATCTTGTACATCGACCATATACAAAGGTTTTCCTAATTGTTGCTGGTGTCGCAACTAGTTTAGACTTTCTACAAAGTCATCTTCAGGCGTCAAGGATATCAAAAGGGTTGTAACTTCATATGAAGTGACAACCTTTTCCACATTTGCTAGTGTCGCAACTAGTTTCGACTTTCTACAAAGTCATCCTCAGGCGTCAAGGATATGGAAAGGGTTGTCAAGTATCAGTAACAAAGCTACACACAGATCATCTCACAGCATTTTACACTCATACCTGTTTCGGTTAAAATACGCATTTAGGGGGCGTCCCCATCTCAACTAATTGTTAATGGCCTTGGAAGATAAAAATATCGTCTTTAGACAAAACAAGAGAAATTTAAATGACTGAATGAAGGGGTTGCTCAGGATTGAGAGTAAAGCCATTGACTGATAAAAATTGCAAACATCAAACTATTCGCCTACATGAGGATTTCTACTAGAAACACACGAATCTGTAAATGCTGTTTGAAGTGGTGGTGTGAGGCTGTAACACTGTGAGAAAAAAAAATGAAAATAAAAATGGAAAGTTGGAAAAAACTAAGAAATGTCAATCAATCATTTGAAAAGGCCTTAAAGTGTCATCTTGTATTATATATTTCAGTTACATTATTGCCCTTTTCTCATCACTTTTAAACAAATAGGCTATTTGTTAAACCAAAATGCTATCCAAACAACCTCACTCTCTTTATTACAATTATAAACAGTTGTTTAAAGAGAGAGAATTTCACATAACTTATTTTCTGTCGATAGCAGCCGTAGCTATCAAGAGGAGAGGATGGAGGAGATGGTAGAAGAGCGAGGTGTTATCAGCAGCCATCAGTTGTGGAGTGAGGAGATGCAGCAACTATTGCTAATGGCTGGAGTAAAGCTCTCTCACATCCATCGCATGCAACACAAGTGGGCTCAGTATGTATCAGTACCTGGGGACCGAGCCTTGCTCGGGGAAAATTATTAGTTTACTCTGAAAAGTATTGCAGATACATTAATCCACTCCCAATCTCCATACTGCTCACCTTCACTACTTACTTCACCACTCCCTACGTCGTGGACCTGTTTGCCCTCCTTCCCTATACCATTTTAGAATTGCAGATACATAAATGCCACAGACAGTTCCCACACTCTGCACTGCTAGCATTACTACATTTTAGGATTGTAGATACCTTAATCTAATCGTCATTAACAGTTTCAACACTCCGGGCTGCTTGCCTTTACTACTTCCTTCACCTCTTCCTACGTCGCAGACCTGTTTCTCTCCCTTCCAATGGCATTTTAGGATTGCAGATACCCTAATCTAATCGTCATTAACAGTTCCAACACTCCGGGCTGCTTGCCTTTACTACTTCCTTCACCTCTTCCTACGTCGCAGACCTGTTTCCCTCCATTCCCATAGCATTTTAGGATTGTAGATACCTTAATCTAATCGTCATAAACATTTCCCACACTCCGGACTGCTCACCTTTACTACTTCCTTCACCACTTCCTACGTCGCGGACCTGATTCCCTCCCTTCCCATAGCATTTTAAGATTGTAGATAACTTGATTTAATCGTTATTAACAGTTCCCACACTCCGGACTGCTCACCTTACTCCTTCCTTTACCTTACTACTTCCTTCACCACTTCCTACGTCGTGAACCTGTTTCCCTCCCTTCCCATAGCATTTAAGGATTGCAGATTCCTTAATCTAATCGTCATAAACAGTTTTCACACTCCAGACTGCTCGCCTTTACTACTTCCTTCACCACTTCCTACGTCGCGGACCTCTTTCCATCCCTTCCCATAGGATTTTAGGATTGCAGATTCCTTCATCTAATCGTCATAAACAGTTTCCACACTCCAGACTGCTCGCCTTTACTACTTCCTTCACCACTTCCTACGTCGCGGACCTGATTCCCTCCCTTCCCATAGACTACCCTAAATGTAGATAACTTGATCTAATCGTTATTAACAATTCCTACACTCCGGACTGCTCACCCTTACTACTTCCTTCACCACTCCCTATGTCGTAGACCTGTTTGCCCTCCTTCCTTATATTATTTTAGAATTGTAGATACATAAATGCCACAGACGGTTCCCACACTCTGCACTGCTAGCCTTACAACTTCCTTCCCCATTTCCTACGTCATGGACCTATTTTCCTCCCTTCCCATTACATTTTAGGATTGCAGATACCTTAATTTAATCGTCATAAACAGATCCCACACTCCAGACTGCTCGCCTTTACTACTTCCTTCACCACTTCCTATGTCGTGGACCTGTTTTTCTCCCTTTCCATAGCATTTAAGGATTACAGATACCGTAATCTAATCGTCATAAACAGATCCCACACTCCACACTGCTACCCTTGAATATAGAATCGTGTAATCTTCAGTATAATCTTTGCTCAATAGTAACAACTGATGTTTTTCCTTTTGTACTGTATTTTGTTTTGCTAGTATACTGTGGATAGGCAAATTACAAGTCTTTTGTTTACTTTTTCCTTGTTATTTAATTCAGCCAACATGGTTACCTAGCAACCCATAAGACTAATGTAAAAAAATGTGATTTTCAGTTTCATTTTTCTACGTAATTAGATTTTTGTTGGCAGTTCTAACTGCAGTAAACTCGTTTTTAGGCCAGAAATAAACTATATACAACATTTGAAGAAAATCGTCAGAGCCGTTTTCGAGATCTTGGTGCAAGCATACATACATACAAGCAAACTTTGCTCGTATTAGAGTATAGGATATCCATTGGGTCAGGGAGTGAAATTAAAAACCACCTGATAGCTTTATGTAACATGCTGGTCTTTTTCACTGTAGGCCTACTCTGATTATAATATTAAAGAATATTCTTTTAATCTTAATGTTAATAATGGTAAAGGAAAAACTATGATTTGCAGTAAAATATCCCCCATAACCTTTGTAAACTCATTTAACTTGACATTTTTTAACCATAGGGTTTGTGGGTTATTGTGTTTATAGACACATATAAATCTATAAAAGTGTTGGTCATCGGCCATTTTTGGCTTCTGAGAACCCTATATGAAAAAGTGCAGGTTTACCAGATCTGGGACTTAGCCATGCTACTCAAAAATAGCTAGCCTACTTTCAATAGGCTTAAAAATAAGCTAAAATAAGCCAACAAGTAACAAGCTGTATACTGTATAGAGTAATAAAGCTACTCTGTCCACTGAACTCTCTGGGGGTAACTAGACTTCAGGTTCAGGGAGCTAAATTAGGCCTGTGAGATAAGTTAAAAAAAAGTAATCTGTTTTTGTACTTATTTTAAATCATGAATAATTTTGTAGGAAAACATGGCCAGATGAGTAATAAGAAGTATTAAGAAGCAGGGTGACAGGGCCGGATTTCCCAATAGGCCCGGTAGGCCCGGGCCTATGGGCGCAAGCTCCCAGAGGGCGCACGGCCGAGAGGAAAAATATTTTTTAATATCTAAAAATAAAATAAATAGCCATAGCTTAACATATTTTGCCAGTTGAAAAAAAGAACTCTTGCCAATAAAGCATTATAATTAGATAACTGTTAAAAAATTTAAACTATTTTTCAACATTACGCATAAATTTTGTTACAACATTGGTAACGAACATTGGTTATACGGGAGTAGGCTGTAGGGATGTTGACGAGTGCCCGAGCGGTACGCATCGTATTGCCACTGTATAATAATCTTTGCACTGCCACTAAGCTTGCTCGGCGCTACTGATCGGAGTGATTAGGGGCGCATGCGTGTTAGACACCATTGCCGTTTACCACCCCCATCTCACAAAAAGAAAATTTATTAACTAATCTTTTGATCAGTTTACCTGCAGGGTCAAGTTAAAATATATAATACGTTTTGTTGGATATTAAAAATACGATAAGTTTATTTTTAAAATTCAATAACAAAAAAATATTTATCTGTGTTTGCAACAGGTTTTAGAAAAATTAAATCCCCTCTAAAGTATCATTAATGGGGTCATTTTCTCCTCAGCTCAGACCTGAGGATAATTATGGTCGGCGGGACGATTGCTTTGTTTTGCTTTGCAAATATAATCTGGATGCAGTACAGCCATAGATTAACCATAAACTCAAGTCAACTTTTTATCACATTGTTAATTCTAAATAGTTTTTCATGTCTAGTTCATATATGTTGGTGACACTGGAAGTTAGTTTTGACGAAATTTGTTTCCTATTATTTTAGGGATAGTTCTATGTTGTGTGTTTTAATTGTGTTGTAATATAACCAGGGGACAACCTATTGTTTATGATTAGATGGTTTTATTTGGACAAACTAGGTTTAAATAACTTGGAATTGTTTTCAGCTAATCCCTAAGGATGACAAATCTACTAAAGGAGTATGTTTAATCTATGGTATCACATATTCTTATGGAGTTGATGTTTTAGGGCCTGAAATCGGAATCAATGGATACCTATACTTTTTTGCAGGAATGCTCTGTGGGTTGGATTGTTTTGTTTCAGTCCCACAAGCGTGAGCATTTGCTAAAAGCATAAAATTGCCAAAAGTGTTAAAGACGGAATTTTGTTAAGGCTAACCAAGATAATTCAAAAAAAAAAAACTTGCAATGATAAAATTCTGACGAGGGGTGGTGTTCAAGCAATTAACATATGCCTTTAGGCATAATATAGTTTTAAATAAAGGTTTGTAGAAAAGAAACTGTGACCAGACTAGGGGGCGGAAAAATTATTTGGGCCTAGGGGCGACAAAATGCTAAATCCGGCCCTGCAGGGTGAGTAGGTTGGGGGAAGTTGACAACCAGCAAAAAATTCTGTTCTAAAAAAAAATACCCCCGCCGCAGCAAACTTGCAGACTAAGTGAATTTCCATTTGTCTGATTGGATTTACACTAAAATGTCTCCTTAAAAATATCACATTTATTCCCTATTTTAATAGCATTAGTTTAACGAGTACTTAGGTTTGCTGCAACCGGGAGGGTAAAAAGGTTTCTTTTTTGTAAAATGTTAATAGTTTAGTATTAAATGAATGCATTTTCCAAATTTGATCAAAATATGTTCATAAACAAGCAAACGGCAACAATTTATTTATTCTCCATAAGAATAACATGGGAATTTTAAATTTTCAGTTTTTTGGAATTTTCTCTTTAACCATTAGGCGCATAATAACGCTTCAATATACTAAATTATTTGTTTTTTAAGCTCTACAAAATGGTTAGGAAAAAAATTGCTAAATTTTAAGTTTTAGGATCAAAAATGGGAAAACCCCATTTCTACCCCATAAAACCCTGTTCCCATAGTCCGATCATGCTGGTTCGCGAACTCGTTCGAATAAAGGTGGGTTTACACGTTTGTACCAAATTTCATCAAAATCAGATGACTTTTGCTTGAGTTATCACGCTAACGGAAACATATATAAATATATATATATATATATATATATATATATATATATATGAATTTGAACGGATGTGTTTTTTGGTCTCGAGGGACCTCAAAACAAAAAAGTAAATCGGTCCCGGGTCCAGGTCTTACCATGAGTACTACAGTAATAGCTTATTCCCTATAGGGGAAATTCGCTAAAAATAGGTACCTACCTAAGAAAAGTTAGGCTTAGGATATTTCACATAATCTTTTTGGGACCCGTAATTTCTTATAGCTATTGGAAAAGTATGCTATTAGCTAAGTTGTCATACAACACAGTCTTCACAAAACATTCAAAATTCTAATTTTGTTTGTAAAAATCACAAACTTACTTGTAGTATTTGAGTTTGGTAAATTTTAGACTTGAGATTCAGTTTCAACACGTGACCAATAAACAAGTCTTAAAATTGATTATTTTACCTTGCTCAGGATAATAGAAAAAGAAAAGCAGCTAGTAAAGAAAAAAGCAGAGGAAGATTTTGCTGCAAGAGAAGCAGAATGGCAGCATGCACTAGAGGAGCGGCTGGAAGAGGAAAGGATAGATCTGCAAGAGAGGCAGAGTAGAGTTGAGGTAGAATATCACCAATAGAATAGATTGCACATAAAAGATTATGGTTTTGTTCATTGTGTGGCTTTATAAATTAGCACTCAATAGTTATTTCTTATTTGTATAACTAGTGGGCAAAGTGGCACTGTGCAGCAAAAGCAATTTGCACTCGTGTTACACATTATAGTACAGGCGCTAGGTGCAGTGTGTATGCATGAAAAGAGTCAGAGATTATGACTTATGATGTTGGTAATGGGGGCTTAGGTGAGTGTAAAAACCCATGTCGTTGCCTCCAGGGGTGGTCGACAACTTAAGGGGGGGGGGGGGCGGCACAAAGTTGCGAAAAACGTTAAATTAGAAAACCACTTTTAACCCCCTTGTTATTGAACTAAGTAAAATATTCGTTTAAATTGACTTGATTTCGGCAATAGGAGGCTTGGTAAGTGTAAAAACCCATGTCGTCGCCTCCAGGGATGGTCGACAACTTTGGGGTGGGGGCGCAAAGTTACGAAAAATGTTCATCGGCAAACCGCTTTTAACTCCCTTTTTATTATATGTAAGTAAAAGATTCGTTTAAATTGACTTTTGATTTTTGTAATGGGGGCCTAGGTGAGTGTAAAACCCCATGTCGTCGCCTCCAGGGTTGGTCGACAACTTTGGGGTGGGGGCGCAAAGTTGCGAAAAACGTTAATCGGCAAACCACTTTTAACTCACTTGTTATTGAACGTAAGTAAAAGGTTCGTTTAAAATTACTTTTTATTTTGGTAATGGGGGCCTAGGTGAGTGTAAAAACCCATGTCGTCGCCTCCAGGGTTGGTCGACAACTTTGGGGTGGGGACGCAAAGTTCTTCTAATTTGTTGCCATATAGAGTAAAATAACTTCTTTAGACCATCAAAGCCTGTATTTAAATTATATTTTTTTAACATTATTACAAACAAAATTATCTCATAATTTATTTAAGACGAAAATGTAACAATAAACAATAAATGGTCACAAAATATAAATCTGAAATGTTGTACAAATATAAGCATTATTGGAGAGATGACAGTTTCTTCCATTTTATCCGTAATGTTCTAATCTGTACGTAAAGAAGCCCTCTATTACATAACATCAGTGTTAAGGGGTGTCACCGTTTATTTTGTAACTATTAGCCTCGGAGAGTTTTTGAAAGTGATTAACTTGAACTAAATTATCTGAAAACAATAAAAATAAACAACAAATTTCCATTGTTTTATTTTGTCCTGGTTTACAACCTATTCAGTGGTGGACTGAAGTTAAATTGTACGGAAATATTTTAGTGAAGATAGACTGAGTCTACCTTTACTGTAGACCATAATAAGTATTTTTATCATGATAGAAATAAAATGCTTAACCATCTCCTGGCCTTTCAACCAATACTATTTACAAACTTGTAACTCAGTGCGTTTTGATAACCTATCCAAGCAAAGAGATTTGATTAAAAAAACACCCTGGCTAATCAGCCATCACTAATCCACAAAAATGTCATCCAAGATTTTATGTTTAGTGGTGAACAATTGATTGATGGTTTGATAATGTTAGATGAATTGTGTGCTTTTTACTGAATCTAATCGTGTAACACAATGTCTCAGTTACGAGAGCAGAGCTTGGCAACACTGGCTGATCAACTGTCAACAGTCCACAAAGATGTCACATATCGGCTCTCTCAACTCCAGGTAATGAAGTCATTTTATTTTATTATTTTCATTTTTTCAATTAGTTTTTGTGTTTGTATTGCTTTTGGTTCCTTGGCTATCTGCAGTCGTCTCAGTCTGAACCTTCCTCGCTTGCTTCCTTGAGCAGTTATTTCAGTGACAAGTCAGGCAGTAGCACATTGCTGTTTTTTTTTAAACAGAATTTTAATTATGAAATGTATAATTAAATTTACAAGTTCAACAAGACCAATATATAATAATTTTATTTTATTTCCTAAAGAATTGTAATTGTTTCTCATCACAATAAATAGGGTCATAGGAAAGGAAAAAATATTTACTAAAATTGTGAACAAACATCTATTCACATGCGGCTTTTACAAATGTAGTTAGATCAAATTTTGTATATTTTCTTTTTTTTCACAAACTTTGCAATTGTGATGAAAAACAATCAACATCCTACATCACTAAAAAAGTTGTTAAGTTATTGTAAGATGTTAAGGTGTTCTGAGAGGCCACTGAAATAGCTGAGTAAAAAAGCATTTGGGTTTTGGACCAGGTAAAAAACAGCAGGTAGACAAAATTTGAAAATTCAAATTTAGTTTATACAAATTATAAAAGGGTTTGCAATGTTTGATATATCAACTCTATCCCTTTTGTTAAAGTAGAGACATCAAATAGGCTTTCTAAAACTAACTATTGTACTTAGCTATGTACAGGGTGACAATTAAGTCCTAGGATGACTTTATAACTTTAAAACAAAAAGATAATATCACAAACAAATTTGGAACACCATAACTGGTAATAGTAAGCTACTTTTTTGTGTACACGGTGATCAGATGTCAACTATAGGGGAAGGACATATATGTACATCAAACTAAAGGATTTGTTGAACTAAAAACAATGCTGCAAACTGGATCTCAAATGCACAACCGTATCAAATATGGCAGCTGTTCAAAGATTTCTTGAATATGCCATTTTGAATCTTAAAACTGATGCAATTTTTTACTCAGTTGTTCTCTTGAGCTCAAATTTGTGGCATTGTATTCTACTTATAAAGACCTTTAGTTTGATGTGTATATCAATATATGCTAAGGTTTATGATTTTCTTCCGTCTTCTAGTGAGGAGGTAGCATATAATAGTATAGCAAATGCAATTCATCTTTGAACAGCTGTCATTTTTGACTTGATTAACCATTTGAGGTCCGGTTTGCAGCTTTGCTTTTAGTTCAACAAGACCTTTAATTTGATTTGCATATCAACCTATGCTTACCTTTAAGATTTTCAACTTACTCCCTTTGGGCCGTCCATAGGTGACATCCAATCACCAATCATCACCTTAATTGTCACCCTGTATATTATGTAAGTTATTATATTCTCAAAGAAAAGCTAGTACAGGTAGCAGCCTCCCATCCCAAAACAAATTCAGTGATAATGATGATGTTTATCACGTTTATCATGATTTATTGAGAAACATGTTGAAAGGATTAAAATTATAGATAGATGTTTCCATGACAGACAATGGGCAGGACACAGCTGATGTTACACTGCACTGCGCCTGCAGCCTGTATGTTGGCATGGTAAACATTTCGTAGCGATCCACTGTAAACATCCAGCCTAGCCTATTTGAGGAAATGTGTTTTCTTAAACTTTACTTTACATAAATTTACATTGAAGCACATGCAATTTTTTATCTATAGTTACACACCAGAGGCCCCGAATGTATATTTCTCTACACACCAAGGCTATGAAACAACAGGTATTAATTAATAAGCTGGTCAGCACAGACTAGATGTCTAATAAGGTCCTTGACAGTTGCAGAACCAACAGTTGAATGAGAGGAGGCTCCAGCAAGAGCAAGAACAGCTACACTTGCAGCAAGAGACAAGAGAACAGGAGCTTGTAGTAGAAAACATTGACTGTGTTCCTCCCATGTATGTAATATACTAGTGGCTTTCCATAGCCACCCCAAGTTTCTAAGTAGATCATCAAATACTAGCACAGTACCAACACCTAAAACTAAAGCGGCCAACACACTGGGGCGCTTGTGCGCGCACATGTGACAAGCAAACAGCTCGAGTCGCATGTGCCCCGTCGTGTAGGTAAATGTGCCCATGCTAGTGATGCACATGCGAGGCGCCTAGTATCTGCCGCCGGACAAGCATCATTACAATTGCGCAAGTTTGTAACAATGCACGCCAGTCTGTGGGTAACCGAGGTACATGTTTGTGAAATAGCAGCAATATCGCAAATCGGGAACTACTAGGTCTGCGCCTGCGTGGCTCACAGTGGTTGTTCAACATTCACCGCCCCATGTGTTGTATTTTATTTGTCCTTGTTTGTTAGGTTATTGACTTCTTTGTTGTGCAGTTAAGATGTCCTTCAATGGCCAAAGAAAGTTTTGGTCTGGTTTAATCGAGCTTTATAGATCATAGACCTACGTATTTGGAGGATGTGAAAAGTGTACATTTTTTCAAGCAAATACTGTACACGTGAAAAGAAAGTATGGAGGTATTGATAACAAAATGCAAGGAAGTTTGTAATGTAGGCTAACCCAGTTTCAAAAACAGTTTTAATAAGTTACCTTATTGTTTTGTGTTGCCTTGAGTTCTTGATATTTTTGTTTCAAGATGCGCATTTCGCCACAGGTTGTGGCATTGTCAGAGGTCACTATTCTATGCTTACATCTTAATATATACAATGTTTATGTACACGAGAGTCACTGTACCGGTTGTCACATCGTGCTATTGTATTGAATTATATCTGACGTAATATTTGTTATGTACAATGAAGGGAAATACAATTTGTTTTATTATTTATTATTTCAGCGTGTATTGTGAATAGAAACATAACAAACATCCAGTATCATGAACTCTCCTCCATATACCAAGCCATTATGTAGAATAGTTTTGATAAATTGCATGTACTGTTTGGTAAATTTTGTTCACTTCATCGTGTTTTTTTACCGTCCCAAATACTGATAGTATAGTAATTAGGCCATAGTTGATTCTCAATACCAATACCATTATCCAAGGATCGGTGTTGTCAAGAATCGTAATAGATTTTGTAAATAAATTTTACTACTTAAATATCTTTAATAGTTATAATACTGTGATATAAAATAATTGTGATATTTTATCTGAAACAAAATTGCATTAAGGAAAACCCAATCTTGGTAATACGACATTGTTGGTAAACGCTGGTCCCTCTCCTATCAATGGACAACTGTACTTAAGTTTTCATTTGATGATATACTGTGATCCTGTTCTTTTGTTCTGTTACAGTCCAAGTGTTTCCAGATTTAGAGAGCAAGTTCCTGTTCAACCAAGTAGTAGAGTTGCTGAAGCTGAACGAAGCAGCCTCTCGATACCTTCTACCAAAGAAGCTATTGTTCAGGTATAAACTTTGCCAAGATCAGCAAACCTTGAGTGTTTCAGAAGCTAGTGGGTCTTAAGGCTCTAGAGCCACATTAGTGGCAATCGTGGGCCAAGAGATACCTGTAATGATATGGAGCATATTAGCTGTGGCCAGTCACCGCGATGGGGCGTGGGTGAGCCACTTGAGTCGTGCACCCTTCCTTCTTGTGGCAGTGACAGGCGACTCGACTGTGTCTGTGGTAGCGGACTATTGGTCGCTACAGCGCTTATTATACTGTGCCACTGTTGTCTGGCAATTTTGTTTATTTCATACTTAACTAAGCTATCAACATTTCAATAAAAAAACACACCTCAACCTTCCCTGTATCAGCAAACCATTGTACTCACTAAAATTAATGTTATTTAAATAGGAAATAAATCTGACAATTTTAAGGGAATATGCTGGTAGAAATCCAGTCAGGTAAATAGAAATTTGCTTAGTCTGCAGGTTTGCGGGTTTGTCAGGCGGGGTTTTTTTTTTAAGTTAACCCCTTGTGGTCGAATGCCGAGTATAGGTCGCCGGGCGCCATTTTCCGACTGCTCAAATGGCAACCTATACTCACAGAAAAATGAAAAAAAAGTTCAACCTCAAAGGGTTAAAAGAGGTTAAGTTTAAAATTGCTACATTACATAAGAATATTGTGTGCTGACTTTAACTACCAAAGTAGCCTGAATAAAAAATTAATTGGTTAAATTGGGGCGTTCTTAGTCCTAGTGGACGTAAGCCACAAATGGGCTTTTTGCACCCTCCACTTGATAAACCTGAATTGATTGATGGTTTGCTTGATCAGCCTATGAGCTCCTCTTGAGGAAGTTGTCTGCCCCTTGTCATTGTTTCAAGAACACTTTCCTTTACCTCATTCAGAGCTGTGCAGTCGTAGAGTAGATTATATACAGTATCCTTGGAAAGACTTAACCCTTCCCGGACGGGCGAAATCATGGCATAGGACGGGAAAAAATTAGAGGAAAAAATAAAAATAAATTTTTGATATTTGTGTTTTGTTATACAAGTATACATAAAAGAAACACAGTAGAACACATCATACTGTCAAAATAATTTTATCGTTTTTAACTATGCGGATATATCCTCGGATGAGTAGAAATACAGCGGATATATCCGCCACCCGTCTTTGAAGATATGACCATGACAACGTTAGGCAATAAATAAAGAACAATATGTAAACAATAAATAGAGAAAACGTAATGTTGAGCGCGAAACGTCGAGGGGGAGAGCGTAGGAGTGGTGGTAGGTGTGCGCGGGGGGGGGGGGGGGTGAGGCGCAGGAGAGGGGTTAGCGCGGTAGAGAGGGGGGAGAGCGCAGTCATGGAAAGAGCAGGATAGTGGCGCCTTGGTTCCGCGAAACATCTGGTTACTGCTCAAGCACCTGCCAGTCTGTCTGAAAAGAAGGCGGATATAACCGCTTCCCGTCCGGAGCATCAAAAACCATATGCGGATATATCCGTCACCCGTCCTTTGTCACCAAAGACTTATGCAGATATATCCGTCACTCGTCCGGGAAGGGTTAATAGAAATTCTACAGAAAGGATGTAATCTCATAAAATTTGAGGCTGATGTGACATTCGCCAACTTGTCAGCCACCTTGTTCCCTTCTATCCCCGAGTATCCAGGGACCAGACATAAGTGTCACCGTGTTGTACCTGCCAAGGGCAGACACTGTTAACTAAACTGTTCATTTACAGACAACAGAGGTAGAAGACATCAGAGTTTCTGCCTCCACACAAACGCTAATCAACGCTGTCACAATGTCTACCCAGACTGTGATTGAACCTGTTGTTGCATTCACCCAGACCATTGACACTGAGGACCATGAACTGCAGACCTCTTTTGACCAGCAAGACCCAGAGCTACTTGCGCAACTGGAGCAGGCAAGTACAAATGTCGCTATGAATACGATTTTTGATGGTAGCTTAAGAAACCTTTTTAGTGATCAAACCTTGCTCAGATGCAAGTGATGCTATAACTTCATGGAAGCTTCTGAAAACTACATTCTTATCTTTTATCATAATGAATTGCAGTTAAAGCTGTATTGGAAATATATATAGTTAGTTTAATAATGACATAGTTATAAAACTATTACTTTAGGTTTATAGATTTTTGTAACATTATCAAATTATGTTCTAGGCTAGAGGAAAAATCAGTGAACTTCAAGAGGAGAATGTTGAGTTGAGAGCCCATGTACTGCAACAACGTCACCGCATTGATGAGTTAACCAATAGAGCTGCAAACCTCTCTAGTCAGTTGGAGGAGTCTCAGATAGCAATGACAGTGTTGAGAGGGAGAGATAGTGCAGTTGTTACATCAGCTCTCTCAACCCCGACTCCTCCTCCTGTGATCATAGCCCCGACATTTGGTTACCGTACACCCCAAAGACAGGGAGGTGGAGAAGAATCTTTATTTGCCCCTAGACCTCAACAAGCTGCACCTAGAGTAGATGGTAGAAGAAGGCCTCTAAGATTTTCCTTCAGTCAGCAAGCTTCTCCAAACTCAGAAGAATCTAGTCCAACAGATGAAGTAATTCAGAATGCCAGAACAAGAATTGAGCAGCTGCAGCAAGAAAGTATTTTAATACGAAGAAATTTTCAGGATTTTCAAAATCGTTTACTAATTTCAGATTCTGTAATGTTTCCTCCATTACTTCCTTCAAGAACATCTGATTCAGTAATGAGGGTAAGAAGAAGTGAAATTAGACCTAACTTTTCTACAGATAGATCTCATCCCCACTTTTCACTTGGCAGTGTTCAAAGACAAGGGCAAAATCATCATCAATATAATGAAAACCAAGACTCTAGTAGTGAGATTTACGATACAGTGGGAGCTGAAAGCATTTCAAACTCAAGAAGATTATTCAATCAGAGGAACATCAGGCATTTTGAGAGATGGAAGCAATTCAAAAAGAAATTCCAAAAACGTGAAGGTTATAACAACTATAGTAAACGTAGCCAAAAGGCATTAAACAGTACTACATCTTCAGAGGACGATGATGTAGTAGGTGGACAAGGTTCCAGAAAGCAGGGTGGTAACCAGGATAAAAATGACATTGGTTCTATCAACGTCAACAGTAAAATCCAACAATCACATGATCACCATCCAAGGTTGGGCAAACAAAATATCTTTGATGATGGAACTGCCAAGAAGGAAAGTGCTTCTAGAGACAAAGAGGGCCCATCAAATCTAACGTCAAAAGTAAGAACTCATCTAGACATGGCAGCTGATAATGAAGTGTTAACAGTTTCATGTCCAAGTAAAGCAGATAATGGAATTGAGCTTGATCTTGAGCGTTCTGCAAAGCTCATTGAAAGTGTAAAGGTTCTTTTAGATGCTCAAAGTATCAAGGAATCTGTTGCCACTACAATGTCCAATGGAAGCTTAGCAGTAGAATCATTGCCTCGAGATTCCGTCAGTAACCCGCAGATTGACATTGGAAATATAGATGGTACCGTTTTAACAGCACAACATAGTGATTCTAAAAATAATGACAAACAGTTAATTATGTCTACGAACAAAAACAACACAACAGATAATATTGCAACTTCATTACCAACACAGACTTCTTCTAGTAAACAAGAAACACACACTGCTGTTTTTCAAGAAACTCAAGCAAATAAAAATCTACAAAAAATAGACATTATAAAGGATTTATCCCTGCATGATAACAAGCCTGAAAATGTTCTCTCCACTTTACCTGAATCAAATGCCGAAATTGAAGATGTATTGGCTTTAGACATTGGCATTTCTTCATCTGGTAAGTGCAAACGTTATTATGGTATTTTAGCGAATTTCACATATAGGGAATAAGCTATTACCGTAGTACTCATGGTAAGACCTGGACCCGGGACCGATTTTTTTTTTTTCGTTTTGAGGTCCCTAGAGGCCAAAAACACCATCCGTTCAAATTCATATATATATATATATATATTTATATATATACATATATTTATCTATACTTATAAAAGGCAAAGCCCTCACTGACACACTCACTCACTCACTCATCACTAATTCTCCCACTTCCCATTTACCTAGGAGGCTGAAATTTGGCACACCGATTCTTTAGGTATTAAATAGGAAAACTAAGTTGTTTTTATTCTGATCGGACCCTCGGGCTCCACCCCAGTGGCTCTGGAGTTTCCCATGTTAACCTTATGAGAAATGGAATTAATGAATCTTAACAGCTGTTTCAATTAAACAAGTTGGTTCTGTTCTATGATGTCCAATAGCATTAAAGTTACTGTACAAGGATTACCAACAGGGTGCAGCACTATTATTTCTTTTACATTTATGACAACAGCTAATTTGCAACCAAAAGGTGAGTGAGCGTAGCGAACGAACTTCAACCTGGAGGCGAGTTAGCGTAGCGAACGAGCTAACCCGAAGGCAAGTGAGCGCAGCGAACTAGCTCCAATCTAAAGGTGAGTGAGCGTAGCGAACGAACTTCAACCAGGACGTAATTGAGCCATGCGAACGAGCTCATCTTGAAAATTAAGAAGTTAAACGGGGCAAAGCCCGCGGGTACAGCTAGTATATATATATATGTGTGTCCGTTAGCGCGATAACTCGAGCAAAAGTTATCCGATTTTGATGAAATTTGGTACAAACGTGTAAACCTACGTTTATTCAAACGAGTTCGCGAACCATTATGATCGGACCATGGGAACGGGGGTTTATGGGGGCTTTTATGGGGTAAAAATGGGTTTTTCCCATTTTTGACCCAAAAAACATAAAATTTTGCAATTTCTTTCGAAACTATTTTGTAGAGCTTAAAAAAACAAATAATTTAGTATATTGAAGCGTTATAATGCGCCTAATGGTTACGGAGAAAATTCCAAAAAATTGTAAATTTAAAATTCCCATGTTATTCTTCTGGAGAATAAGTAAACTGTTGTAGTTTGCTTGTTTATAAACATATTTTGCCCAAATTTGGAAAATGTTTTTATTTTTTACTAACTATTAACATTTTACATAATAAACACTTTTACCCTCCCTGTTGCAGCAAACCTAAGTATGTTTTAAACTGATTCTATTTAAATAGGGAATAAATGTGATATTGTTAAGGAGACATTTTAGTGTAAATCCATTCAGGGAAATGGAAATTCGCTTAGTCTGAGGTTTGCTGCGGCGGGGGTATTATTTATTATCAAGCCGCATTTATTTTCATCAAATCAGTGATTCTTCATCAGGGCTGTCTTTGGAATCCTTGTCTATTGATAATCGCTTGTATACGCCAAGTTTAAATTACGATTTCCCCGAAGATATATTAATTTTGTTTTTGCACCCAAATTCACTATCAAAATTTTCTTGAATTAGAGATTGTTATTTTTAACTTCTTCCTGTTTGTTAACTTGTATTTATTGTTGCTATTTATTGTTATTTGTTTTTATTGTTCAATTATTGTTGTCAAATGTTATTGCTTGTTACTGTTCTGAATTGTTTTACATTTTGCACCTGTTATTTTTCATTAAATTGTATTATAATCTAAATCTTCTTATGTATTGGCGTCAGCCGTTAGTCAATAAATAAATAAATAAATTTGCAGAAGGAAACTCCAGCTGCACCAAAGTTACTATATTTTGGCAAAACTTTTGCTTGTATAACTGGTACAAATTCGAAAGTAATCAAAATGCTCCCGCCGCAGCAAACCTGCAGACTAAGCGAATTCCATTTGCCTGAGCAATAACCATTAAAAACACTTTGCTTTTTTTTTTTTGTTATTTAAGCTTTTTAAAATGGTATAATGATACTTTTGGAGAATTTCATTGTTTTGAGGGTCAAAAATGAGAAAACCCAATTTGTATCCCATTAAACCACCCATGGTCAGATCATGCTGGTTTGCAAATTCATTCAAGTTTATCCCGTCCTACATCTTCAAGCCAAATGTCATCAAAATCGGTCAAAAATTATTTAAGTTATTGCGTTTACAGCCGTATATATATACAGGATGTCCCACGAGAGGTGTCTCAAATTGATAACGGAAAAACGGCTTAACCTACAAGGATGAAATAAAATTATTTTCCACTAAATCGACCCCAAGGAATAACGTAAAAATTAAAATATTTTAAACTTTTTTACGATACATTTTTGAATTTTCAAATGTAAACATATGTTGTGTTATACAGCATCTTGAATGTATTTAATAGAAAAACATTTTGGCTAAAACAGAAATTTATTATCTTTTTTCCGTTTCAAAATGGCGGCAGTTTTTTTATCTATATTTTTTTAATACTCTGTGTTTCCTATACCAATGCACTTAGCCCTTCTCCGGTTGAATTTTCTTACTTGTAATGAAATTAGCTTTACTCTGATATCCTAGAAGAAAGAGGTTTTATGAAAAGAGAAAAATTCAAAAAAAAATTTTTGAATTTGCAAATGTCTATTGTTCAAAATTGTCAAATAGAAACATATGTCAAAAGGCACATCATTTTATAGGTTTTTTAATTCTGAACAACTTTGTAATTTACACTTAGAGGCTAAGTGCATTGGTATAGGAAACACTGAGTATTAAAAAGTATTGGTTTTTTCAAAAAAAAAACTGCCGCCATTTTGAAGCGAAAAAAGATAATTAATTTCTGTTTTCGCCTAAATGTTTTTCTATTGAATACCTTTAAAATGATGTTTAACATAATATATGTTTACGTTTGAAAATTCCAAGATTTAGACTAGTGACCCTCAGTTTTTGGCACACCCTGTATCGGGAAAACGTTAAAATATTTAACAATGGTACTTTGTTCCTTGGGGTCGATTTAGTGTAGAACATTTTTTTCATAAAAATAAAACAATTAGGTTACCAAGAATAACAAGTTTATGGAGATTAATGCCAGAAGAATATTTGTCCTTGACCTATTACAATTTTGAAATATAGGATAACCTTACCTTAGGCTAGGCGCGCACATGAGCGATTATTTTGAGGCGACTATTTCATCGGCCCATCTGTGCATCATGTATTTGAATGGAAGCGCGCACACAGGCGATCGAGAATTGCGCCGATTTTAAAATCTGGGTTTTGCCACAGATTTGTAGGCGAGGCGATGTAACATACAGATTGTTATCAGTCCGCGCACATGGTCGACTAAAAAATCGGCCAGTCGCTTGTTTTTCTCCACAGGAGTCAGTGAACTTCAGTGTGAGTTGTGCTGTTATCTTTGCTAAAAAAAGGTTACAGCTGTTATAATATAAGCTGAAACTTTCAACAGACATTCTCTAGTAATTAAAGAGTGTCATCACGCAAAGTGTATAGTTTATAAAACTGTCGATTTAAACGTCTCTGACTTACTACCGGATGAACCTAATATTTAAGTTGTCTTCTTTTTTTCTTTGATCTAATTAGAAGAGCACAAACACAGGTTAATTCAACAAAGTCCATTTTAGTATAGCTTAAACGCACTCAAAAAAAATCCATTTCTCGACTAAAAAATCGTCACGTGTGCGCCTGGACATAAATCAAGGGCGATTTATTTTTGGCCGTTTGTTTTTATCGGCCAATAAAAAAGTTGACCGTGTGCGCCAGGCCTTAGTTGTCTGCAGTAGTCTGCTGTGCAGGCCAGTGGTGGCAATAAGAGCCCGTGCCCCCACCCTCCCCGCAAGTTTGTTTGCCGGGCCGCCCTCTCCCAATAATCTTCAAAAACATTATCATCTGTTGCACAATCGCGGGCCCATGTCCCGGTAAAATTTCCCGAAAAATCCCGGTCAAGACTCACAGGTCCTCCTAGCTCGCAAGCCCCCGGGCCCGCTATTGCCGCCACTGGCGCAGGCTGCAATTATGTGTTACATTACAGTATTGTTTTTAGACTTCCAGCAATCAAAAAGCGAGTCTAGAAGTTTCAATTGCAGCTTTTAAAATGAAATATTATGACAAAGTACAGCACAACGACTTGTCATCTGTGACGACTGGACAGACGTTAAGGAGACGAGCACGTCTCTGTTAGAAAGTGTGTGATCAGCACTTGTGTATCAACATAAGACAAAAACTTCCTTACTTTCTGAATAGCCGTCATATTTGCATTCAGTGTTGATGTAGCACTGCTGTTGTTACAGACTTAGGGGATGTGGAGAGTGTAGAGAGAGCAACAACTTCCCTGACATCAGGTAGTGACATTCTGAGAGAGCTGAACCCATCCAAGACAGACTCTAGCAGCAGTGTCATATCTGCAGGCTTTGGAGAAGATAGTAAACACTCATCTGATTTTTGGGAGTAATCAGTAATCATTATGTACAGTGTATAAATGTGTAAAATATAAATTTCATTAAATGTATTCATAGAAAAATCTTTGTTGCACATGCCCATTTGAATACTATTTTTTTGTACTTATAAACTCCAAACAAAACTGAAAGTTTTGATATGAGAAGGTATAAATTGTGCCCCTCTGTGGGTCAAGTTTAAAGATGTGGTACTTCAGTATTAAACGGAGGCCACATTTCGTCAGCGCGCTGCGGCGGTTATGTTAGGTTGGGTTATCATAATAGAAAGTATCGTTCGATTCATAACGAAGCGAGGAAAGTCCTACACACATAATATTTACGATAACCCAACCTAACATAACCGCCGCAGCGCGCTGACAAAATGTGGCCTCCGTTTAATACTGAAGTACCAAAGATGTTCTAGACACCAGAGTGGTATTTTAATATAGACTTCATTAGTATAATTAGAAATCCTAACAAGTGACTGCAAGGGTTCAAACTCTCCTGTGGAACCAGGAGAAATCAGAAATTCTGTATTGTCCTTGAGCAAAACAATCTTGCAATAGACATGGTCACGTAGAGAAAAGCATGTAAACCTCTTTTTGTGGTGAGGAAGGCATGGTGTTAAAGAACTAGGGTATGATAGGGTATAAAAGACGGATAAGGTATCCCACTTGTGAATATAGGTTTCTTATACCACAGAGTGAATTTAGTCTTATGGTAGTTAAAAGCTAGAGAAAATTTTATTGTATGATGAGAATGTGCTTTTAATCAACTTGTATTAAATTAGATCTAGGGACCCACCTTTAAGGTGCCAGACCCCATTTTAATGCATTTTCTGATTTTTAAAATTAAAAATATTCTCTATGAATAGTTATTGTCTGGTATAACTTCCAGAGAATAACCAATCTACAGTATAACCAATCTACTGAAATTGGCTTGGTGAAGTAAATTTATTTACACAAATATGTCAGGCTCAAGGATAAACTAAACAAGGTTTGTTTGACAATATCCAATTAGGATAAAAGATAAAGAGTTCAGGACTTTAATAACTAAAAAAACGGCTAATCTATGAAAAATGTCAAGAATACGTTTTTTAGCATTTTTAATTCCCTATCAAACAATACCAAGATCAAAGAGATTGGACAGAAAAATAACTGAAATATAACGTTTTTTGTGTAAAAATAAGGCAAAGTTAGTCGGGGGAACCCTAAATTTTGCCTTATTTTTACACAAAAAACTTTATATTTCAGTAATTTTTTGTCCGATCTTTTTGATCTTGGTATCGTTTGATAGGGAATTGAAAATGCAAAAAAAGTATTCTTGACTTTTTTTCATAGAATTAGCCGTTTTTGAGTTATTTAAGTTAGAAAAATTCAATTGGCCGCCATTTTGAAATTTACAATTGGAACAACTTTATTATTTTTTATATTATAGGTCTTGTGTATGATAACCTGGTTACCGAATTTCATAATTATCAAATGAAAAACTTAACAGATAAAAAATATTTTTGAATAAAAAACAAAATGGCGGATAACTGGGTAAATATGCATTTTCGGACATACCTTCGCAAACACTTTTTTCTTACTTTTCGTATGAGGATTCATTTCCCAAAGTCCTGAAACGTTTTTTATGGACATCCTATACATTTCATATTAAATCTTACCTACTTTTTGGAAATAAATATTGTTATTTATTTTTTCTGAATTGACTCATCAGCTGACTTTGAATTTTAAAGTTGAGTTAAAAAATTTGAAAAAATATTATTTTTAAAAAAGTTATAGGACTATATTGTATATAATTTGTTTCAGCAAAAAGCAGAGTGTACTGTATTATGATTAACCTTCCCTAAATTTTTGACCTATTTATTTATAGTTTGTACACAAAATTGGCATACTATATATATATACATATATTTCTCATGGGCCATAAAAATAACCATAAATGATATTTAAATTTCATTAAAAGAACTATTTTCTACTTTTAAAAAATAAGTGTTGTTTTAGTATATTCTCCATTAAAATTTTAAGTTTTATTTTTATTTTATAAAATGTAAATGACTCTTCAGCTGACCTTGAACTTTAAAGTCAGCAGACAAAGAAAACAAGAATTCAACTACGCTAACCCTACAAAAAATACTAAATTTTCTGACGGATGGCATTTCACAAAAGACCACGATCGGCCATAAAATGACCGATTGGCAGTTCTAGGTTTTTAAGGTAGAATCACCACAGAAACATTTCAAGGGAAGAGAGGATCAATTTTTAATCAATCACTTGGTTATTATGTAACAAAATAACAAACTTCTTGATAGAATCATTACCAAAACTTCTTTGTAGAGGCGAGGTAGAATCATACATCTGTTTAGTGTTTCAATTGATCAACTTTATTCTAGATAATTGTCAACACTACTCGTCGTCAGCTAAATAAAATCCTAAGAAAAATTACAATCATCATTATGCAACATATTGTTATTTTCTTTGTTTTTTAAAAAAATATTACATCGCTAATATTTACAATAAACTGAAAGTGAAGACAAACATACATAGTGTGATACAAGCTGGCCATTGGGGCCGACCCAAGCTGATCTATCACAGAGCTCCATTCTAGCAGGACATTCTATGACAGCTCTGAACATCATCACACCATTACAAACAAATAGATTTGATAATGAAAGTTCATCAAGAGATTAAATTACTTCTATAATAAATTATTATATGGCTATTTGCGGGAAGATTTCCTATTTAAGCCTGGAGAGGATAAAGTCTTGGAATAGCCCCGGGTGGGAAACCCGCAGAAACATCACTATCACATTACGAGGCCTGAAAAACTATCAAAACTTTTTCTCTTACACCATTGAGCCTTAGATGATACAAATTATTGATTGTCTCGAATTCAAAAAAACAATTTTTAGTAATCAAATGAATATACTGTATTTTTTAACTATTTAATATTAGTATTAGTTATTAATTAATATATAGGCCTACATTTCTATTTAGAATTAGCAACAACTATGGAGATCATTGTGTGACTGGTATATTAATTAGTGCTCGGGACTTCTGTTTTGGAGACCAAGGCTTTTATCATTGTAACAATCCCATGATCTGGTTAATCATAGCCTAAGCTGTAGATTTATTCACTTAATTAGAAGCAAACAATATATAGGACTGTCTCCCACTCGAGGAAAGCTACCAGAGAACTTCCTTCACTTAACACTATGAGGTGGTGAGGTAGTGACGATCATTAGCTTGGTAAAACATTTGATCTTAAATAGCTCAGTAACATTTGAAACCATACTAGGCCTGCTAGAATGGAACACATCTATTTAAGAAAGAATACAAAATTTACAATAAGTTTTTAAGGACAAATTTACATCTCATATATCCATTAATATTTTAACAATAATAAATCTGGTTGAAATCAGCCGCAACAAGAACGAATCATGCAGACAGACAAACATGGCGACTGGGAACATACTCTGGACTGTAATACACTCCGCGGACAGATAAAATAAACAGACACTTCAAACTTTACAAATAATAAATACTGCAACTACTCAAAATGTAAAACAATGGTTTTAAATCAGTGTCAATAAATTTATGTTTGTGAATCTTCCTATTTTTTATGTGCAACTGTGTTACGTCAGGGAGTAACTGAAGTTTTATTGATAACCTATATACTTGCAGTAGCAGATATTGCAAAAAAAAAAACTCATTAAATTAGATCAAGTACTTTTTTATTAAATAATTATTGTACTTGTAAAACATATATTTAACAATACACTTTTATTTGTAGGGCTTAAAAGCCATGTTTGAAGAACTGTAAGGAATAAACATAAATTAATACCTCTGATGTGCCTGTTTATAGTACACTGCCTGCCCTGAATTTTCCACTCATAAAGCATGATAGTTATTGTTATCTCAAAACAAGACATCACAAACTGTACACAGTGATTATTGAAAATATACTTACTGTAGGCAATAAATTGTAACAATAAGAAATAATATTTACATAATGTATATGGATTTGTGTTGATATTAAACACAAATATATTTCTACTCTAGTTTCAACAGCTTGGTGCTTTGCAATAATACTGCTATCAGAAACCCATAAGATAATTTATAGATAACACAGGGAAATGTGACACAGCCTGGTACAAATTAGTTAAGTTGCACAGCTTGTTCTAAAACACATAAAATTGGTTTACTAAGAAGAAAGTAACTGTCTGATATAAAACTATATTTATTATTTCAAACAACATAACAAAATAAAAAGTCTTTGAAATTCAATAAAACTAAAAACAGATCTCTGCTAATACAAACATAATAAAGAGTATCTTTTCCAAAATGAAATAAAGTAACCTAAATTTCTATAAGAAATTAAAAGTAAATCTATTAAATAAAACAAAACTGATTAAAGCAAATTTATTATTAGCAAAAATAGTTACATACCACGTCAGGATAAGATTACAGTACTATTTTTTAACTGAAGCCAACTGATACTAGAAAAGACCTGGTATGGATCATAAACATAAACAAATGACGTTTTTGGCCCGAAAGTAAACAAAACCATATGTTAATTAATTTTATTAGTATAGGGGTTTTGTTTACTTTCGGGCCAAAATGTCATTTGTTTTATGTTTATGATCCATACCGGTACTTTTCTAGTATTCATGCTGAAGCCTGTTTTAATAGATACATTCAAGAGAATACAATATGATGAAAGTTTTCACATACATTAATTTAGTATAGTAATCAAAATAAGTTTTCAGTTCTTAAAAAAAAAATACTGACACCGTACAAGTCATAGATTCAAATTTCTCCAACCAACATAGTGGTATTGCAAAAAACTGTTGAAACTAGAAGTCTATAAATTATGCCTTCTGGTGTTACTAAGGAAAATGTCAAACAAATCCTATTCAGGCCCAATATTATATACAAACGGCTTATAACAATCATAATATACTCCCATACATGAAGATACGGAGTCCCGAACACTAAACAAAGACACTATATATATTACACAAGTGACATGGACGCAACCGCAATCGCACTAGAGTCTGATCGTCACAACCTACAACCCGTCACTCTCGGCAGAAAGTCTTCGAGGCAAGAATAAAAAATTCATGGGGAAAGACATTGAATCACATATACATTTGATGCACCCTCCTAGTGTTGCCTCGAGGTAGAAGTAACTTGTCTGCAGATTACAAGATGACACAGGAAGTGGAGCAGCAACTGCTTCCCCCTCCCTTGCTCTTCTGCCGTTGGTCTACAACAAACATGTTCTTACATGAAATCATTGTTACCACACTTGATATTGCACACAGACAATTTTAGATAAGTACAATATTAGCATTCAATGCAGGAGGGGTTTCCGTACGTCGAACCCAAGTGAGCTAATGGTGTACAGTACAGCAACGCAATGTATTTCAATTTATTTACTACTATTTAGGCTAGTTCCCGCTTTAATGCGAGGATTACTCTTGTCACAGTAGCTGAAAGCAATATGAAGGATAATCGATACTATCACCAAGTATGAGTTGTGTTCTTTGATTACGTTCCTGTGGGATGCAGGTCAGGTCAACCCCAACTGAAATCAGTTGACAGAATGTGTGTGCAGAAAGATGTTTGGAGATAGAAAATGTGCACAATTAATTGTTATCAGGAGTTTGCAGAAGGCCGTACACATTGGCACAAAACGTCCCGGAAAGAGTGTTCTATCAGTTCCCATCGAGACAGTAATTAAAGTTAAAGTTGAGGAAACTTTGCTTGCTAATTAGCGTGTTTAAGACTACCAGGGTTTACCGTGATTCTTGTTTATAGTGTGTTCTAAATATGAGTTCAGCAATCTATCATTGTCACACCACAATCCGCACTCAAAATTCCTTTAATTTGGTCACTTTCTAAAACCTGACTCAGAATTTGTGCAAAACATTGTAAACATTGAGCTTATATGACTTATATGACCACCTCTAAACTCCTTCTTCCAAAACACTTTACTTCATTCAGATCAGTAAACTTGTGATGGACTTCAATAATGGTGTATGCCTTCATACTCTGATTCATAGTTACAGCCCACTCTTGGTAATTCAAACACTCAATAAATTGAAACTTTTGATAATTCAAAATAAAAGATCAGTCCGTAGAGAATCTCTCAACATTTCAAATATTTACCATGTATTTTGATACAGTCGGCATTTCAAAGTCCAAATAAAAGGCAGGCCAATTTGGAACACACAGTAATTTGAAGTTTCGTCGGCAAAACACTCTATAATTCGAAGTCAAATATCAAGCAGTAATTCAAATTTTCGTCAGCAAAACATTCTATAGCTCAAAGTCAGGGCTCCCTTCATGTTATAGCAGAAAACTATACATTCTGTTCCACAGTAGTTTTGGACGTTTTGATATTTAGTTAGAGCAGTAGGTAGCTATTTTCTGGTTGACAGTGTTTGCCGTCAAGCACAATTTTGAGGTTAGGTTCCTTTCACAATGCTTACAGTACATTCATTATCGTTATTCTATTGCATGTCATTAGATCAAAGCCTAAACCAATAGCCCGTCGGAAAACAAATTATACCAGATTGAAGTATAACACTGGAACAATAAGCGGCAACCGAAACAACATCTCACGGCAGTGGCTAACCTCGCATTGGAACAATAGTTTGTAAACGGTGCTTTGACGAGTGAGTATACTCGTCGCACGTTGGGGGTAGTGAGATTAATCGTCATGCACAGTTAACATGTTTTAAACTTAGTTTTGTAATTCGCTAAGTTCTGTTTGTTGAAGCCTTATGTTGTGTCGAACCGTAGCCGAAGCTAAATTATTTGTTGTTTTATCATTGAACCTAATCATATATACAAACCCCTTTTGATTGCGGGAAAAAAGAAGTGCAAAGTAGAGTGGGAGAGTCAAGTCAGAAGTTGTACAGTAGAACTCTCTGTAATTCACTGGTTTATTTTTCCCCGATAAATCAAACTCTCGATAATTCAAAACTCTTGATAATTCAAATTGATTTGCTTAGCCCACCAATTTAGAATAATAGTAGATATTTTCCTTCCCATCGCTTTCAGACTATGATTATTCATTAAGACAAGAATGATCATCTTGAAGAGGACTGGCTGGCTAGAATGGTAGCTATTGACTGGAAGAATATGGCGTTGGTCTTGGATTCAAACAAGCTTGATGGCTGCAATGAGCTCAATAGAGGCCTTAATTTAAAAACAACACTAGTAATTAAACACTATCATGATTCAGCATTTCATTATTTTAGTGCTTACAATGAATAATCCCTGTTTCAGCTCTCCCATTCAACAAATTTTTACGATTGAGGTGCCATTTTAAAGCTTATTATCTCGCGGTGTGACGAATAGTAACCGAAAAGGTAATTTCCTGTAGGGCTTCACCCATGGGCGTTTTATTTATTTCGCTTTCTAAGAATTTGTTATCGTGACCAACTTTCTTTACAACGGTTTAAATGTGAACTATAATTTAACAGCTGATCCTTCAAAACAACAAAAGTAGAGACAAAACAGTTTCTGAAAATGGATTTTAAATAAGCTACGGTTTTTTATAATTATAACCTGATTGAGGTAGGTAAATAACTTGTTACAGTTTGGATAACTTTTCACCTAATACTGTAATTGTCATAAACAAACATAATCTTTGAAAACTAAAGGGTATTAAATTATACGTTTTGCTTTGGATATGAGTTTTGAACCCTTTTAAAAGGTGCAATTTGTGCATGGGTCTCATCCTAACTATTTACAACAATGTAGGCTGAAGTCTCTCACGGGTATTATTACTATGTGGTCTTTTCTGAGATAAAATTATGGCTATTGCAGTATTGGACACAAAGCTCTAACCGACTCACTCTCAGTCTCAACACTACAACACACTTTGAACTAAAATCAGCACTGTACATTATTCATTACATGTGTTACTATTCTCTTTTTTTCCTTGTGGTGTGCCGGTGTTCACTATTCCTGCCTGGAACATTTAACTTTTGCAAGCCCAGTCAAGCTTTACTGTGACTTTATATTAAAAATATTTCATGGAAAAAAGTATTTGTGTATACAATATACACCAAAGAAAAAATTATTTAACTTCACATCTAATGGCTATGTTGTTAAAATTAGATATTTTTATCAATAACAATCAGGCCAATCTTATAAACTATTTTGTAACTTTATAAATCTACATTTTATTTTAATACGGTGCATCATTTGTACATAACAATTAAAATCCTAAGTGAAATCTACGTTTTGACCCAGCTAAGGATTTGTGAAGACCATCTTGCAATACTTTGCGAAAGAATCCAAAACATGGAAAAGCCAATATGAAGAAAGGCTTTGGCTAAGGAGAAGGGCATTGCCATCTGCAATCTTGTTTTACAGACAATTTCAACTTTATAGTTGTGGGGTGATTTTCTTGTAGCCGTCTTTTTAGGAGACTGAGTTTAAGTTTTTTTTTACATCTTAATCCAATTAAAAATAGAAAATAACAGAAATATGTAATAAAGTTAAGAAAAAAGATACTTGGTTTCAGGAACAGAACATGTGCACCACATCTTTAGTTTTATGTTGATGTTTCATACACATTAATTTTTAATTTGAGAACTTGAGCCAATGATATTAAAAGCCAAAGTGAATTGTTATCCATAACACAATTCATCTTTGCACTTTTATAGAGAATAGAAAGTTCCCCTAAGCCATTGACACAAAATCATTTGTTTTATTAATTGGCACTCAAAACACAAGAACACAGGGTAAAATGGTCTTGGCTGGTGAAGTTTTGAAGTAACAAACAAGAAGATGGTAGCCAACTTTCTAAGAGAGTTTAGTTTCGTTCTTACTGCCATAAAAAGTTTCAAAACTGTACACTCACTCTTTGTTTATTCATTTTCAGATACTCTGCCTCCCATCATTTTGTAAAAGTGTCGGGGAAATTTTAACATAATCAATACAGTAGAACCTTGATAACAAGACTTTCATGGGGATTATTAAATAATATTTGAAATCAAGGTTGACTTGTTATCTAAGTTTGCAATAATAACATGTGATTAGGGGTAAAGTAAATTCAAGCAAATTTGAAAATGACACAATATTATAAATTGTGAATTGTTATTGAGGTTCCACTGAACTAATTTTAATAATTAGACTCTAAATTAAAATTTACTTTGATAGATGCTAATAGTTATGATGTTATTGAAAATGTGCTGTCAATATACAATATATCTGAAATTTAGTATGTGGGTTACATACAAATCTTTCATAGAAAAAAATACCAAACCTTGAAATTTGTTTTACAAAAATTGATTTGGACTGTAAGATTGTTTATTGAAATAATTTGTTTAATGATAGTAAAAGCTAATACAATTTTAAAAAAGTAATATTTATTAAGGGGATTGGCCCGATAGAGCATCTATATACTTTATACAATAAGGCACACCTCTGTTTCATACCTTTTTTACCTGTCCTACTTAAGCGATATTCAGGATCAAGGTGTCATTGTTAATGTTACGATTTAGCAGAGTAACAAATTAAAACTATCAAGGTAATTTACTTAAGGGCTTCCACCCCTAGCGTTTGAGGTTTTTTTTTAATTTTGCTTCCAAAGACTCAGTGATTCTGACTAACTTTCTTTATAACTGTTTAGATATGAACTTGTGAGCAGCTGATCTTTCAGTTGAATGTTTAACCACAGTCAGATTGTAAACAGGAGACAAAGGAGTTGAAAATGGATTTTAAATAGGCTGCTTTTAAATAACTGTAAGCTGATTGACGTAGTTATATTACTCGTTATCATATAGATCTACAATCTACGTCTTATTTAAATAATAATTTTCTTACACATAATATTTGAAAAGTAAAAAGGATGTTGCATTGTTCAGTTTGCCTCGGACACAAGTTTTAAACTCTGTTAAAGTGTGCTATTCGCGCATGGGTTCCCTTGTAGCACTTAGGCTATTTAACTATTCTATCAGCCTAATTTTTAAGTTGTCAAAACACGTCAGGCTTATTGCACTGGAACAACATGAACTGTGACACGAGCACAAGCTTAGAGATTTGATAAAGGTTACTCCCTGTTCATTCTTAGAAAGCGACTTAAACTTTCTAGAGAGCATAACAGTTATTTGCTCAAATTTCCTTGCTTGGACTGATCTCAGGCTTTTATCACTATGCCACTTGCTATAATGGCCATTAGTCCCTATTTCAATTTTTTTTTTATCATCAGGATATTTCTAACAGCAAAATACTAACCAGCCAAATCATGGTGTTCTTTCTTTCCTGTTTCGTTAATAGACCAACATTGTGTGAATCTTCTAAAAATGTAATGAGCACATACAGAACTTTTTGAAAGTGGAACTATGGCATACTATGTTGTATATGGTACTGAATGGGTTGATACCTCAGAATACTTGTCTTGTAAGCAATAGCTAATGTCTGAGTTTGGAAAAATATAAAGCGTTATAGAAGAAATTTTGACTGAACATTGCCAACGTAGACTTAGTACATGCGATTAGCCGTTTTGTCTTTAAAATGCAGTATGTTGTTATGTATGTTTTACCATTGACAATGGGTAGAACGTTCTATTTATCAGCATATTAAAGTTTTGGTTTAGTTGAATTGAGTCACCAGAAGATTGTACTAAAATTACTGATTTTAATGGAAAACATTAAAATTTTAACTAATGCAAACTCAAAGGATAACTTATTGTAACTACAGAATGTTTTATGTCACATTAATCATATCAGTAAAACAAAAAAGCAAGGGAGAAAATAACATTTTTAAACTGCTGCTAACTCTGTGAATGGCTTATTCAACCATATTCTGTTAAAATAAAACAATGGCTACAGCTGGTCCATTTATCATGTGTTAGACAATGTAAATCATCACCAACAATGAATTTCAAACAATTAATTGGTTCTTATGGGTTGGAAGTCTACTTCAGAATCTAAAAGTTAATGGTCATACACCTTCTTCAACTAACTGGGATCTTCAACTCATACCCCAATACCCAAAACCGCAATAACTTGAATCAATAATTGGTCAATTATTCGTATATTTATAATTTTACATGATGAATTATCGGAATGTTTTCTGTTCAGTGTTTGGGAACCCACATAGAGATGCCGTCCCAGGTCTCACCTTGAGAGTTAGGTTCGGGTAGATTTTCACGTGGCACTAAGTGCATGACAGTGGTGCGGCCGAAGGGCAGTCCTAGCGCGCCCAGCGTCACGTTGCTGTGCAGGAACCGGCCTTGGTAGATCAGTCGCAGGATCTCTGCCTTCTCCACTGCCTCCTCCGCCCAGTCTGCAACGACATTGGTCAAACATTAAAAGATATCTCGCAACGTCATTTCAGGAAAATGTTGGTATTCCAATTTCAAAAATTAGAAGACTACAGGGTTTTAACTACATAGGTTGTCATTATAAATTTACACTAGATTTATAGATTTACACATTAAAAATATATTTTTTTTTTTTTAACAACATGGGTTGATAACATTGTTTTGTTATTGTTCATTATCATTCAATGATATTTTTCTAAAGGATGAATTTAAATTGGTTTGTGATTCATTAAAAAAAAAACTAGAGGTGGGCCGATACCGATATTCGATACCAAAATACTCTCGATACCAGCGGTATCGAGGTATCGTCGATACTCGATACTTGCCTGTTTTGGGTTCGATACCGATACTGACACTGAACGGTACGAATCGGTGCGGATTAAGTCAGTTCAGAGTGGGTAAATTGCCGTTATGAATCCTAGCTGTTTGCCTACTTAGTAAAGACTACCTTATTGGCTAGTTTTCAACTCCAGGGATGATATTTGGTTTGTTTGATCACCACTGCGAGCGCTAGTGGCCTTGGCATTTTAATAGACACGATCTCATTGGCTCATACCTACTGCCCTGCGACGACGATCAACCAATCAAGTGCTATGTTTTAGCGACATTGAAACTTGGGTTGTTGTTGAATGCCGCACCGAGTACTAGTGTCTTTACTAACTTATTAGAACCTTTCTCATTGGCTGGTTTTGGATCGGTGGACGACGATAAACCAATCACGGTTAGCGTTTTAGAGACGCAGTAGTCCTCTTATATGCACGCTCGCGGTGTTGCAGTTACATTGTATGTCGTATGGTCCATCCGTATGTCGTATGGTCCATCCGTATGTTGAACTGTTGAGGTTATGTTATTGTTATTTCACATTGGTTCTAATTGAATTTCTTTTGATTTTAGTTAATGAATGATTTTATGATTTTTATTTAAAATGAGTAAGCGTCAAAGTGATGTGTGGGTCTTTTTGAATATAATTAGTGAAAGTAGTGATGCGGCAAAATGTAAACTGTGCAAAAAGATAGCCTAAGTCTTGTACGACTTCTAACCTCAATAAACATCTGAAACTCCACCATCAACGTGAATTTTCCCAGAGGAAATTGAACAAATCAACAGTTGGGGAAGAATATAGGCCTAGGCCAAGATGAAAGTGTAGACGATCCCATTGTTGTTACAAATCCAAATCCAAACTTAAATGAGTTTAGCCCACTCTCTGTTAACATAACACACTAATATGGATACAAAAATGTGTATTCACATTTAAATAAACAATATAATTATATAAACAAAGATATTCTGCTTATTTATCGTTGACAATAAATGTGTTCATATTAAAATTAATGTTTTATTCGATTCCAGCTGTTATTTTGATAGGTATCGGAAGTATTGGTATCGACAGGTATTGAGAGTACTTTGGTGGTATCGGTATTGGTAATCGGTATAGACAATTTTTGGTATCGGCCCATCTCCAAAAAAAACTTTTATCTGAGCTCATTTTAGCTCTTTATCCCCACTGCACAAAGTAAATGAATTTGCATTGAAATGGTGGGAATGCTCAGACACTTAAGATGGTAGTACTGGTCCCACCAACTACGATGATAAAAGTGATCTCATAACTTTTTATTGCTTTGTTTTAACCATAACAAAGCTACTTAATACAATTCTCAATTTTTGTTTTTTTTTATCTTAAATTTTCATACATTATAAAATTATGTAGGCAGTGAACTTCTAAGGTGAATTATGTGGACACAACAATATCCTAGGAATCGATGACACAAAAGTTCTGTACTGAACCTGAAAATATGACAGACTAAGCAATTTATATTTGAACTAGCAGAGTATCCGTCCTTCGTACGGGGTTGGCGTGTAAGTATAAAATGCTTATTGCAGTTTTATACTCGTGTTTTGCGTTTGCAATAGAAAAGGAAAAAAGTAAATTTCTCACAGCTTTTTCTTGCTGCTTGATTCAAATTAGCTGTTGTCATAAATGGAAAAAGAATTAATAGTGCTGCACCCTGATGGTAAGCCTTAACCTTTTAATGCTATTGAATATCACAGAACCAACTTGTGTAGTTGAAACAGCTGGTGAAATTCTTTAATTCCTTTTAAATATGAGTACTCATAAGGTTAACATGGGAACTCTAGAGCCAATGGGGTGGAGCCCGAAAGCGCTTGAGATAAGAAACATCTACATGTTAATCGGGAATGTGAGCTATCGTCATACAGTAGACTCCCTCTAGTTCGGCCACCTCGGGACCGGACCACTGGCCGAACTACAAAACGGCCGGACTAACCGGATGTAGTGCATTTTACATCATCAAAATACAAATCATAGTATTGCGCAATCGTGATATGTTAAGTCAATAACCTTGGTTCAGTAATAAAAACTGTAACGTTAAAATCACGCTTACTCAAGCAAAACAAAAATTACACAACACTGAACGTACAACAATAAATCACGTAAAGAACAGAAAAAAATGGTTACTAATCACCCAATCACAAACTGTTTTTGAGATAGCAAACAAGTGCACAGCAGACATCAGTTGTGTAAAGAACAGATGATTGTCAGTGCAAGCGGATAGCTTGACCTTGAAGCTAACGATGACCATTTCTTTGTTTTGCTTTAATTTATTTTTGTCAAATAAACTGTGGTGTTTCAAAAATAATAATGGGAGAACCTACCGCATAAAAAAATGGTCCGAAATATTTAATTATACACTGCATTTCAACTTATTAGACCGAAGAGAAACTATTTATAAAATGTTCTCGGTATTTTTGAGGTTATGTAACATAGTTTTACATAGGTAATATGCAACAATTCACCCATAGAAGCACCCGTCAACTAAACTGACATGAATTGTTTACTTCTCTGGCTGGAAACTAAACATTCAAGTTAAATCCTGTCGAAGGCAATTCCCCCGTGACGATGTGACTTGTCCCCCTGAGACCAGGCCGGACCATCCGGCGGCCGATCCAACCGAAGCCGAACTAGAGGGAGTCTACTGTACCAAATTTCAAACCAATCCGCCCAGTAGTTAATGCGTGATTGAACTTCAAACAAACAGACAAACTTTCACATTAATAATATTAGTATGAAGTATGATGATTGGATTTTCAATATTGGATTTTTGGAATAGTTTCCTATTTAAATAACAATATGTTTGATAAGTACTTAGGTTTGAAGGCACATGGAAGGTAAATAAGTTTGTCTTTATTGAATTGTTGATATCTTAGTGTGTAATAATTACAGTGTACATTTGTCAAATTTGATCATAATATGAGTGATAAAAAAAATGCTTGCATAGTCTAAGCAAGCAAACTACCACAGTTGACTTATTCTCCATATAAATAACATAAGAATTTTAAATTTACTGTTTTTTGGGATGTACTCTGTAATCATTAAGCGTACAACAACGCTTTAATATTCAAAATTATTTGTTTGCTCTACTACAGAAAGGTTTATGGAGAATTTGGAATTTGTTTTAAGGGTAAAACACGGAAACCCCTATTTTTATACCATAAAACCTGATTCCCATAGTCTGATCGTGCAATTTCACAAACTCAATTGAATAAACGTTGGTTTAGACTTTTATACCAAAATTCCATCAAAATTGGATGATCACGAGTTTCATGATAATGAACACACATATACTGTATTAATACAAATTAGAACTAATTGTGTTTTTGGCCTCTGGAGACATCAAACTGAAAAAGTAAATTGGTCTCAGGGATAGGTCGTACCGAGGGGGTAGTCAGTACTTTATTCCCTATATGGTCAATAACTGAAAATTTCAATAGGGTTAACACATTAAAATTTAAGAAAGTGTGTTTTTGAAACACTAGCCTTGTAAAGAGAGTTTGAAATAGAATAAAGGATTATAATAAATTAAAAATTGGTCTATTCTGATAAAAAAATTGTTGATATGTTATAAATAACATTCAACTGGATCTAAGATGAATATCCGCTAGCAAGTGTGTTTTACCTTCAGGCCAGTTGTCAAAGACATGTTGTGCTATGTCCCCGGCTGAGTCGCTGGGGCTGAACAGGTACTCCTTAGTCTTTCCACTCACTAGGATCAGTCTCAGGTTGATCTGTAAACATAAAACCACAGTCATAAACACAAATAGTACATCTATATATATTACAACTGTTGACTACTGTAATAGTAGGGGTAGTTCCATGAGTTGATACTTATGATGCCACTGTCGCGGCTAGAACAATGATTCAGAGAGGGGGTGGAAAAATAGGCGGTTTGGCAGTGAATATAATGTGAAATGAAGGAATTCAAGGGAAATAAATGTTATGGTGATTGAGGGAAGGAGACTGTGAGGTGGACAGATGGTGGAGAAAGAGAACTGTAGGGAGGAGATGTGAGTCAACACTCAAAGCCAGAAATACTCTGAACATAACTCATAAGTATGTAGTCTTCATCACTTTGTCCAAGAATCAACCAAATAAGAGGGTATTTTTTATGAGAATCCCTTTAACACTTTTTTTACTTTGTCTACCATACTTGACAAGTGATCCACTATTGTCTCATACGCTACTGCAGCATTAGCTCCAATTAGGTCTTATTAAGTTAAGGGAATGGGGAACTATTCAGAAAATAGGACCGAAAGAAGATTAAAGCGCAATACAGTATTAAAGTTTAAGAAATAGAAGTACCGTACTACTCTTCACCGTACCTCGTCACCCACTATTTTACGATTATTACTGTAATTATAAAATACCATTTAACTATGACTGTATTGTTGGAATTGAGCTAATAACAACGAGAACAGTTCTATCACCAGTTCCGATCCACTTTTAATTACTGGAGTGCAGTGCAGTGCATGGCCCAGGCCAATCACAAAACCAATAACAAATGCTCACATTCAGATTTTCATATCATTAATTTGCTAATGCACTGCTTTCAGGTTTGTTTTTACATTTCCAAATTTACCAAATGTATGTTTCTTGTTGATGCTTACATGGGCAAATAGCTAATAAATCGTTATGATTTTAACATGCTATAAAAGTATTATAGAGACATTTTTATTGATTTTAGCTGACAGCAATAATTGGCTCATTATTTTTTACCTTATAACAAAGCATTGGAAACTTTAATATAAAAAAATATTCTAAAGGGTAACTATTAAATTAAATTTCAGTGACCTTAGGGGTGGGAGACAATGTTAAAACGCACAACCTTCGCTACACATAGGACAATACTTTTCATTGACTTGAAAATGAGTTGGTCATGGATCATAGATATTTTGTGTTATTTGAACTGGTTGCGCGCTTCGAAAAAAAGGTACCCTCTCACTGATTCTGCATTATGAATTTAATCATTGCTGGCAGCAAGGGGAAGAACAAGGCTACTGATTAATTTAGTACCGTGTGATTTTGTTACATTGTCTCAACAAGTTTGATGGGAACGGACGTTTTAAACTCCAAAACTACATCCTAAAACCCCTGATTACTCCCCGGCAACCCCTAACTAAAAGTAACTAACTCATATTTGTTAATTTGGCTACTTAATGATTTAATTTCCTTATATAGTAGACTCCCTCTTATCCGGACACCTTTAACCAAACATCGGTTTAACCGGAATACACTCGACGGAAATGACATCTCTTTAACCGGACAATTTTTATCAGCACTTCGGTTTAACCGGACTAGATCAGCAGGAAGTGGGCGGTACTGAAACAACCATTCTCGTGGGAAAGATTTGAGACCAGTGATCACGTGTCTAAATACAATGCTCTCCTAAATTTAAGTCAAATACGCATTTAAACAATCAGTTTTTACAAGTTTTTGGGGACGTCGGTTTAACCGGATATACCATTATCCGGCCTGGCCTCGGTCCCGAGGAGACTTATTGAAGATACTTATTGAGACCCAATGATGTACCTACTTAATTTTAAGATGTCCTAAAGGCTGGCCGACAAACGCTGCAGTGGGAGTGGATGAGAGTATGTTAACGTTTTTGTCATATTAATTTCTGCAACGTTTGACGACTGACATTGGTTGTAACCAGAGGAGGGGGGATTTTGGAAGTACTTTTTGCTTGCATGCTGGGTATATCTATATGGAAAACGGTGACACGCACGGCGCATTCGAAAAAAATTACAAAGTTAATACTGCACTACTTATATTAATTGTTATTTTTTATTAGCCTATTCACTGTCAGAAACAGAAAAAAACTAGACATGAAAATTGCAATAGATTTTACTCTTGGTGCTACTTCTAATTGACATTTTACAATCTGATTCCCTAAGACATTTCAACTTAAGGCCACAGAAGTGCCTCATTTTTTGTGGATGTATGAAGTAGTAATAACATTTTTATTTTGTTGAGAAGCTGTTGAAAGAGTTACAGCTTACATTTCTAGAAAAGTTAAATTTGAGTACATCGATCACCGCCTTCTTCAACATAATTTCTTGGTTCAGTTTTACACTCACCTTTTCTTGGTTATTGTTGAGGTTGGTGACAAAAGGGGCTGCTTTAAGTAAACCAAAAGAGCAGCGACGCAAGAACCATTGTGATGCGAACATTGCCACAAACACTTCCTACTTCAGTTCACACTTTGTAATCACTCAGTCCTGATTATTACCAATGTTACTAACAAGAAATCCCTTCCTTCTTCAATCTATTATTTTAGTTTTTGTATAAATAACAATTTTACTTAACAAACAAGAGAGCCTAAAACTGTTCCGGATCAAAACTATATCTAAATTATGTATTTTGAGACAATTAAGAAAATAAGATGGGATTAACAATGAATTAATTAATTAAGGAGTAAAATAAGAAATTTCTCATCGGAAACCCAACATTTTAGAAGATGTATGGATGAGAAATGCCTATAAAAACTAAAACATCTACCGAATACAATACTGTATTATCACCTTCTTTTAAACCTAAGTCATGACTCTTTAACGATACGCCGAAATAAAAAAATTACATATTTATAGGGAAGAAATTAGGTTAATTAGTTGGTGAGAAGTAACAAAAATTTAACCCTTAAGAAGACCCACAAATGATTTTTTTAACTTGACTTTATCAATTTTCAATTATTGTTTACTTCATTGTAGTATGAATAGCCTCCGGATAACGAAAAAAAAACCTAAAATGTTTAAATCAGATCAAAACTAGTTGTGAATACAACAATTGGATTGCCTGAATCAGGTATCTAAACCATTATTATTAATCAGTGTTTAGCCTAACAACAGATCTTACTAACCAATAAAAATATGTTGCAATGATTTAAGCAAGAAGAATTTCAGATTTTAATTCTCTTTGAAAATTGATTATCATTTTATAAGATTTAATTGAAAGTAATAACTAAAATAGAATAATTTGAATTTGAATCTAAATTTGTTCACCACAATCACAAAGTACAATATTCTCAAAGTATAATATTGTAACAAAACGATAGCAAGGAAGTGAGTACACTGTGAAGTAATGATTGGAGGTTGCCATTGTGAGGTTGATATGGCAAGACTAAGACAACATGGTGCAGTAATTGAAAGTGAGATTGGATGAGTCACTACAGAATAGCAGCAGCAGCAGCACTGCAAGCCTACATTGCATATACATCTTACATAGAGGAGCAGACAGTTTGGTGAAATGTAACTATGTATATTTGTATATAGTTTATATATTTGAAATATTTGAACTAACCCTTAAAACCCATGTCAAGGTAAAAATGCCACATCATATAAAAAACGTCCAATTATGTTGTTTACAAAGATGTCAGGAATAATTGAGCCCTTTCTCAAACATTATTCATAGAAACTTGTTTAACACAGAATATACAAAGGATATGGTAATTAAGAATATTTAAGCATAAAGTCTTCTATATATTTTTTAAAAGGGATAGCGGAATTTCGCTCCCTTGGAATCTAACCCCCCTCCCAAACCGGACACAGACGGGTCTCACAGATGGACTAGAAGACCTAGATTTTGCCGATGACCTGTGCATTATGGCTTATAGAAGTAAAGATTTGGAAGATAAACTTAAAAACCTTGGTGGTAAAGGTTAGTTTAAAAATTAACCTAGGAATAACGAAAAAATTAGAATAAACAAAAGAGATAACCAGCATCTTTACTTAAATGGCATGGTCATTAAAAGAGTAGAAGATTTAGTCTATCTTAGAAGCATAATTGAAATATGAAGCTTCCAAGATGGACAAAATCTTCCATTGAGAGTTCAGTGGGTGAGCTTTTGTTGTGGCCATATGTCCCCAGCGGGATTAAAAGAAATAAGACACTTCGGACACACATCACACTCAAGCAGTCTCTAATGTGACTATAGTTTTGTTATATAGCTGCTGTAGTTGTAGCCAGAGTGACTTTGTGATGATGATGACAATGGAGGTAGAGGTGGGATTCTGGCTCAGGACCAAGGTTGTAGTCTCACTTCTCACTTCCGACAGACATCACACTCAAGCAGTCTCTAATGTGACTATAGTTTTGTTATATAGCTGCTGTAGTTGTAGCCAGAGTGACTTTGTGATGATGATGACAATGGAGGTAGAGGTGGGATTCTGGCTCAGAACCAAGGTTGTAGTCTCACTTCTCACTTCCGACACACATCACACTCAAGCAGTCTCTAATGTGACTATAGTTTTGTTATATAGCTGCTGTAGTTGTAGCCAGAGTGACTTTGTGATGATGATGACAATGGAGGTAGAGGTGGGATTCTGGCTCAGGACCAAGGTTGTAGTCTCACTTCTCACTTCCGACACACATCACACTCAAGCAGTCTCTAATGTGACTATAGTTTTGTTATATAGCTGCTGTAGTTGTAGCCAGAGTGACTTTGTGATGATGATGACAATGGAGGTAGAGGTGGGATTCTGGCTCAGAACCAAGGTTGTAGTCTCACTTCTCACTTCCGACACACATCACACTCAAGCAGTCTCTAATGTGACTATAGTTTTGTTATATAGCTGCTGTAGTTGTAGCCAGAGTGACTTTGCGATGATGATGACAATGGAGGTAGAGGTGGGATTCTGGCTCAGAACCAAGGTTGTAGTCTCACTTCTCACTTCCGACACACATCACACTCAAGCAGTCTCTAATGTGACTATAGTTTTGTTATATAGCT